GAAGTATCTGGAGGAGGAGATGGGATTCACGCGCGTGTACAACGGCGGCGGGCCGGAGCGCGTCCGCGACGCGGTCGCGAAGAAGCCGTGATGAGCGACGACGACGACGACGACGACGACGACGGTTGGAAAAACAGAAACGCCGGGTTGGGGGTGCCGAGCGGATCGACGCGTCGATCGCGATCGCCGTTCAAAGATAAAGATCTGCGTTGAAAGATCACGGTCAGTATTCGAGCCGATATCGCGCACACCGACGCCGCGCACCGCTCGCGCACATCCTCCCCCTCGACCCCCCCCCCACCCCCATTCCACCCTCGCGAGGACGACCGACGACGAATTCGATGCCCGTCCACGCGCAGCTGAACGGGTTGTACACCGCCCCCGCGGACCCGACGGAGATCCGCACGTTCCGCCCGGTCGGATCGCATCTGGGCGACAAGACGTCCGAGTGGTGGCTCGCGCGCGACCAGGACGTGTTCGTGCTCATGCACAACGCGCTCCGAGGCGAGGTCACGAAGCTCGAGAGCGTGTTGTTCACGCTCGGGGATAAGACGCTGAAGGAGTGGGAGATTCAGGCGATCCGGGTGCGTCGCCGCGTCGCGTTCGTTCGCTCGCGCGGGGTGTACACGTGCGCTTCGACAACGACCGCGATTTGTGTTCGATCTTTTTTCCCCTCGCGTCGCGCGCGCGCGACCCCCGCGATCGGGGTCGACGCCCGCGCCGCGCGCGATCGCGCGCGCGCGCGATGCCGTCGCGCGCCGTCTCTATCGCGCGACGCGCGCGGGGGGGGGGCGTTCGAGCGCGCGGTTCCGCCGTCGCCCGTCGCGCTCGATGCCGCCGGCGTCGTTTTCAACCGACAGTCCGCGTCAGTCTCTTCAGATCGCACGGCACCCTTCATCCATCAGTTTCGCGCGAATTCTCATCACGACCCCTCTCCCCCCTCGCCGCCGCCGCCGCGCAGGACCACTGGACGGGCCACTACGAGAGCCTGAAGGAACACTTCAAGATCGAGGACGAGATCATGCACCCGTTCGTGAAGACGCGCGTGGACATCCTCGGCGACGCGTTCAGAGAGTCGCACGAGGAGCTCGCCGAGCTGGCGCACGCGGTGGACAGGTACAGCTTGCGTTAATTATTTTTTTTTCCGAGCGACGCGACGAAACGTTTTCTGCTTCTTCCTTCCTCTCTTCCTTCTTCGATCGCTGACGACGCGACGAACCCGCGCCTCCTCCGCTCCAGGACGATCAACAACCACACGTGGGCGACGGCGAAGGAGCTCTCGCCGAGCCTTCACGCGTACAGGACGGCGTTGTGGCCGCACTTCATCGAAGAGGAAAACATCGTCATCCCGCTCACGCGCGCGTACTTCACGCAGAAAGAAGTCGGCGACGCGTTCGGGACGGTGCTGCGGACGAAGAAATCGAGCGCGGCGCGGCGACTCGTGCTCGGGAGCATCGTCCATCACCTCGCCGGCGGGAAGGAGGGCACGATGACGTTTCTCGCGCGCTGCGGTGAGACGCCGAGACCGCTTCCCCGTCGCGCGACTTTCCCCGTTCGTCGTCGCTCTCCGTCCGCCCCTTTCGCTTCCCTTTCGACCGACGATGTGATCGTTTGACCGGTGAGACGCACGACTGACCGACGCGTTCACCCCGCGCGTCGAATCGAATCAAATCGAATCGAATCGCTTCTTCGCCCGCGCAGGCTTCGAACGCTTCGCGTGGTACCAGGGTTGGCGAAAGTTGCGGGCGCACTACCGCGCGCGGATGGAGTCCAAGCTCGAGTCGCTGCTCCAGGGCGAGGAGCTCGTGTGCAAGCACAAGGCGGAGATGACGCACCTGCGCCGACTGAAGTCGCTGCCGATCAGCGAGAGGATCGTGCGGCGGCCGAGCGCGAGCGTGACGCTGAGCATGGATCTGAGGAACGAGATGTTATTCAACAAGGTGGACGCGCCGAGCGCGAGACCGGAGACGCCGCCGCCCGTGGCGAAGCTGGCGAAGAACCGCCGAGGGTCGATGGACAGCAATGAAGGCAGCGTGGGCAGGGTGAAGCGCGCGATGGAGGACGTGGAGAGGTCGCGGGGGAAGATGGACGCGAGGGTGGAGGTCGCCGCGAAATGATTGATGACTCTAATCGATCCGAGGAAATCGATTCGATCGAGATAGATTCGATCGACGACGGACCGAAGGACAGACGCGGCGGGGACGTTCGTTCGTTCGTTCGTAGCCCTGATTGACCATGTATGTAGTTGTACCTATCATATCGATATACACGACGTACGTATTCTAATGAATAAGGTTATCAGTCTCGTCGGTCGCGCGTTCCCTGACTACTTTAACGCGTCGACCCGCGCACGCAACCCGACGGCGAGCACCCCTCCCTCGGCGGCGGCGCCGCGCCGGCGTCGTCCACCGCGTCCGCGATGTCCCCCGCGATGGCGTCCACCGCCGCGCTGCGGCTCACGGCGCTCAACGCCTCCAGCTCCGTCGCGTCGAAGCTCTCGACGACGGCGCCGCCGCACCGCGGGATCGCGAGGTCCTCCCAGTTCATCGGAAACCGACCGAACCGCGACGCGAGCGCGGCGCCTAAATTGGAATCCTCCTGAGCGATGACGCCCGTGACGCGACCGTCCATCTCCGCGCCGGAGCCTTGCCCGTGCACCTCGAGCACGCTCACGCCCGCGCGCGACTGCTCTCGGACCCAGGACATGTACTGCGGCCACGCGAGCGGCGGGTTCGCGAGGTCCGGTCGCAGCACCGTCCACCCGCGCGCGCCCAAAATCTGATGAGCGTCGAGGGTCCACGCGAAGCGACAAACGAATGTCGGGGTGGAGTTGAAAGGCGTCAGAAGCGGAGTCGAAAGGCGTCGAGGTGTGTCGGGATTGAAACCAGCGAGGGGTGGGCGGAGAGAGACGCCGGGGTTAGAAGTCCTTAAGGAATCGCGTTCAACACACCAACGGGGACGTATGGGGACCAGTGTGAGGAATACGCACCTTGTGCGCGCGGTTGGTGATGACCAAATTCAACGCGCGCTCGCCCGGGGCGCCAACCTCCTCGCCCGGGTCGATCCAGTGCCCGGGGACGAGCGCGATCGTGGCGCCCGGGTCAAACCCCGCGCGCGATGCGTCCTCCGCGGTCCGAAGCGTCGCCTCGCTCGCGCTGAACGTGCGCGGGCTCTTACTAGCGGTCTCGCCGCCGCCCCACGCGCGCTCCGCCGAGCGCTCTTCGTCGCGGCGGCGTTCCAAGCGCTCGTCGCGCTCGCGCCGCAGCGTCCACATCTCCTGCGCCTCTCGCTCTCTTTCTACGCGAGCGCGATTGGCGAGCTCGACTTCGCGCTTCGCTTCCTCTTCGATCTCCACCTTGCGGCGCGCCTCGCGCTCCGCGTCGGTCTTCTTCCGCGCGTCTTCGCGTTCCCGCTCTTCAGGGCCGTTCCATACGAGCGAACGTCGGGGTGGAGTTGAAAGGCGTCAGTTGAAGTTGAAAGGCGCCGAAGGCGGGGATTGAAAGCGGGGGCTGGGAGGAGAGAGACGCCGGGCAAAGTCCTTAAGGATCGGCGTTCACCACGCCAACGCGGTCGTATGGGGACCAGTGTATAGAACGCACCTTCCAGCTGGCGTCTCTCCTCCTCCTTCTTGAGCTCCTTCCGTCGCGCCTCCTCCGCCCAGCGCTTCTCGCGCGCTTCGTTCCGCTCGATCCGCCGCCGCGTCTCCATCGCCGCCTTCTTCGCGCGCTTCTCGTCCTCCTCCGCGTCGCGCTCGGCTTTCCTCCGCGCCATCTCCGCGTCGCGACGATTCCGGTCCTCCTCTCGCTCTCTCCGCTTCCGCTCTTTTTCCTCGCGTCGCATGAGAGTCCTTCGCGTCTCCTCTTCGATGCGCCGCTTCTCCCCCGCGAGCCGCTCCGTCTCCTTCCTGTCCGCCTCCGCGCGCTTCGTATCGCGCTCGGCGTCCTCGCGGAGCTTCTTCGAGCGCGCCGCCGCCTCCGCAGCCTCGCGCTCGATTCGCCGCTTCGCCTCGCGCGCGGCGGCGGCGTCCTCCTCGGCGGCGCGGCGCGCGTCTTCCGCCGCTTTCTTCGCCGCTTCCCGGCTCAGCCGCGCCTCCTCCTCCGCCCGCTTCCTCGCGTTCGCCTCCGCGACGCGCGTTTCCTCGCGGTTTAATCGCGCCTCGTCTTCGAGCCGCTTGCGCTCCGCGCGCGCAGCCTCGGCTTCTTCCCGCTTGCGCGCGGCTTCGGCTTCTTTGTTGGCGCGTCTGCGCGCCTCGGCGGCGGCGGCGGCGGCGACGGCGATTGCCGCGGCGTCGCTTCGCGCGTTCTTCCACTCCGTCGTCGCGGTCGTCGCGTCCTCCGCCGTCGTCGACGTAGAAGACGCGGCCGCGGCGCTTCCCTTCTCCGCGGCTCGCAGCGCCGCCTCGGCCTCCGCCGCTTTCGCCTCCGCGGCGTCCTTCCTTCGCGCCTCCATCAACTTCTTCTGTTCCGCCACCTTCTCCTTCTGCAGCTCGAGCCGCTCCTCGCGCTCCAGACGCGCATTCTCCCTCTTCGCGGCGTCCTGGCGCTTCTTCTCCGCGCGCGCGTCCTCCTCCCGCTGCCGCTTATCCCTCTTATCGCGCTCCCTCCTCGCCCTGTCCTCCTCTTTTTTTTTCTCGCGTTCTTCTTTTTTCCGCGCCGCCTCCAGCGTCGCGTTCGTCGGCATCCGCCGCACGACGTTCTCGACGTACGCCGCGTCCTCGTCCTCGTACGGGTCGTCGCCCACTTGTAACGTCCCGCAGGCGTCGGTTACTTTTCTGGTGACGTCGAGGTTCGTCGCCACCGATCCCGATCCCGATCCCGATCCCGATCCGCCGCCGAGACCGAGACCGACGACGCCGTTCCGCAGTCCCTTCAACGCGCCGCCCAAGCCCCCCAGCCCTGGAAACGCGATCGGTCGTCCGACGTACACCGGCGCGCTGCGCGGCCGCGTGAAGTCCCACCGCGCGTCCGCTCGCTTGTCCTCCAACTTCGGGTCGTACTCCACGTGGAACTCCACGCGAGGCGCGCCGAACGACACGTCGTTCCCGCCCGCGCCGTCGGGCTCGATCTTCACCCGAGACGCCACGCGTACGAAGAGCCCGCGCCACAACCGCAGACGCGCCCACAGAGTGTTCCTCCGTCGCAACCGCGGCGCGCGCTTCGGCGCGCGCCGCCCCGTCTCGAATCGAATCTCCTCCCTCTCCACGCGCGAGAGCCGCTCGCTCTGCGCGAGCGCCTCCACGGACAGACCCGCGGTCAGTCGCTCGTCCGGGAACGTCCCGGGCATCACCGCGAACTGCGCGTGGACGCCCGTCGCGACCCTCGCGCGCGTGCCGCCCTTCTCTCCATGCGGCGCCAGCGCCGCCTCCGCATCCAGCGACAGCGTGAAAGGCGCGTCCTTTCGGCCTCCTCCTCTCTCTCCCGCGCTGCCGCCGTCGTACGCGACGCCGCGCCACCCCACGGCGGCGTCCGGCGCGACGTGCGCTCGGATCTCCGCGCGTTTGAACGCGCCGGTGCCCAGCAATCCGTCGCGATGAAAAAAATCGCGCGTCAGCCGCAGCATCGGTGCGCCCGTCGCGACGCGCCCGAGAAAGTCCACCAACGCGCCCGGGTCGCCGGCGTCCTCCTCCGCGTCCTCCTCCGCGTTGTTCTCCTCCGCGTTCAAGCGCACCGCCGTCAGTCTCGGGATTCTTCGCGCCCGCGTCCGTCCCCGCGGCGACGGCGAAAACGCGGGATACGACGGCGACGGCCTGCCGTAGAATCCCCCTCTGTCTCCCTCGCCGTCCCGCCCCTCCTCGCTCGCGTAGTCGTCCAGCTCATCGCGCCACGTCCCGTCCTCGCTGTCGTCGAGGTGCCTCGTGAAGTCCAGCCCCGCGGACGTCTTGGACGCGACGTCGCTGTCGGGCGACCGCTCGTCCCAGAAGGACCGCGACGCGGGCTGATGATGATTTAATGCGCCGTCGTCGTCGTCGTCGTCGTCGTCGTCCGCGCTCGCGCTCGCGCGAAACGGGTGGACGTACGGATGCGCGGTCTCGTCTCGCGGGTACACGGTCACGTTGTCGTGCGACGTGCGCGAGCGGTCGCGCGCGCCATGACGGGCGCCCCCCGGCGCGCCGCCGTCGCCGAAGTACACCGCGGGCGCGGATGATGATCCGCCCGGCGTGGTGGACGCGTCGGATCTCTCGTCGAAGTCAAAGTCGCGGTCGTCGTCGTCTCTTCGCGCCGCCGCCGCGCCGCGGCTCAGAGGCGTGAACGCGTCGTGGTCGTCGAAGCGCGACGACCCGCGCCGCTCGCGCGGACGACGCTGTTGTCGACGCGGCGGGAGGATGTGCAAGCGCCAGCCCGCGAAGACGCGCGGGATCTTCTTGCCGTCGTGCGCCTCCCGCGGCGGGAGCGAAGACGCGTCGTCGTCGTCGTCGCCGCCGCCGCCGTCGCCGTCGTTCCACGGCGACGACGACGCGTCGAGGCCGTCGCGGTAGTCGTCGGGGTTCATGACGCCCCCGCCGGCCGTCGTCTCGGCGCGCGCGGATCTGCGCGGTGGGTAACAACGACGCCGATTTAAACGTCTCTTTCTGATGAGGTGCGGTTTTTCACCCGTCCCTCGGTTTCAACATTTGATCGCGTCCCTTTTCAACTGACCGATGAACTTGTACGGAACTGCCCTGAAGCCGTGCCTCGTCCCCGTCGCGTCGTCGCTCCAATGAGAGTCGCTCCACTGCGACGCGCGCGACGCCTCCCCGCGCGTCCGCACCCCGCCGCGGCGGCCGTCCCCCTCCCTCCACGATCTACGGCGCCGTCCCCGACGACGACGGCGGCGCGCTCGGCGCGGCGGGCGCGACGGGCGCGACGATGCCGAGCAGCAGCAGCCGGGGCCCCGGCGATCATCATCAACTCGCGCCCCCTTCGTCCTCGCTCCTCTCGCGCGTCTCATCATGCGACGCGCTGTCCAACCTCCGCGGCGCCGCGCTCGGCCACGCGTTCATCCTCGCCGTGTGCGTCATCTGGGTCGGCGGCTCGTTCCTCGTGTCCTCCCTGGAAGCGCGCGGCCTGTCGCCGCTTCTCATCACGTACGTCTGCAACGCGCTGTTCGTGTGTCTGCTGCCGGCGTACTACGCGACGGGGCGGGCGGGATGGAGGTGCGTTCTATACACTGGTCCCCATACGATCCCGTTGGCGTGGTGAACGCCGATCCTTAAGGACTTTGCCCGGCGCATCTCTCCGCCCGGGGTCCCTCGCTTTCAATCCCCGACCTCGACGCCTTTCAACTCCATCTGACGCCTTTCGACTCCACCCCGACAATCGCTCGTACGGAACGACCCGGAGCGGCGGGGGGGGAGAGACACGAGGGAGAGGAACCAGAGGGAGAGGCGACGGCGGCGGGAAGGCACGCGCGCAGGGGGGGTACCGAGGCGGCGGCGAGCTCGCGTGGAGTCGCGTCGAGGACGCGTACGAGGACGAGGGCGACGACGGAGGGGACGACGCGAACGGCGCCGGGGACGAGGTGCGTTCTATACACTGGTTCCCATACGACCGCGTTGGCGTGGTGAACGCCGATCCTTAAGGACTTTTCCCGTCGTCTCTCTCCGCCCACACCTCGCTTTCAATACCCGCCCTCGGTGCCTTTCAACTTCAACTGACGCCTTTCAACTCCACCCCGACATTCGCTTGTATGGAACGACCCTGAGTCGACGACGGGCGGGATCGACGCGGCGCGCATCGCCGCGGAGGTGGCGACGGCGAAGGCGGCGTGCGCGATCGCGCCGCTCTACTTCCTCGCGCAGCTGTGCTTCAACTACTCGCTCCTGTACACGTCCGTGACGAACAACAGCATACTGAGCACGTCGAGCTCGGTGTTCACGTTCGCGCTGTCCGCGTGGATCGTCAAGGCGCGTTCTGTCTCACGCCGGTCCCCGTACGAACGCGTCGGCGTCGTGAACTTCATTCCTTAAGGACTTTGACTTTCTCTCCTGACGAGGCGTCTCTCTCCGCCCACCCCTCGGTTTCTGCTTTCAATCCCGACACACCGCGACGCCTGCCTTTCAACTCTGAGGTCTGACGCGCCTTTGAACTCCGCCTTTGAACTCCGTCAAGAGCGACCACGTCAACTGGCAACGCTGCGTCGCCGTGCTCGTGTACGTCGCCGGGTCCGTCTTAGTCACGACCGCGGACTCGCGCTCGCCCAAGTCGACGCACCGGGGGACGTCGAGCGGCGACGACGTCGCGGGGGGTTCGGACCCGCCGCTGGGTAACTTTCTGTGCGTGCTCTCGGCGGCGATGTACGCGCTCTACACCGCGGGGATTCGGTGCGTCGCGTTCTCGCGCTGGTTCCCATACGACCCAGTTGGCGTTGTGAACGCCGTTCCTTAAGGACTTACTTGTAACGTGTCCTTCCCGTCGCCGCCCCCAGGTACTCGCTCCCCGACGACGAGGACGTCTCCATGCTCTTCTTCTTGGGCGTCGTCGGCGCGTTCAACGCGATCGCGTTCGGGTTCGTCGTCTTCCTGTGCCGCGCGTTCGGCGGGCTCGAGGCGCTGTTCGAGAACGTCACCTCCGCCGCGCTCGCGGTGGTGCTCTTGAAAGGGTTGATCGATAACGTGTTGTCTGACTACCTGTGGGCGCGCGCGGTGCTGCTGACGTCGCCGACGATCGCGTCCGTCGGGCTCTCGATGCAGATACCGATGGCGGCGGGCGCGGAGGTGGCGTTGGGGAGAGCTCGGTGGACGCGGAGCGGCGCGAGCGCGGGGATGATGCTCGGCGGGTGCGCGCTCGTCGTGTCGGGGTTCTTGGGGGTGGTGTTCAAGTGATCTGATTGACGAGGGGGCCCACGGCTACTTACCGTCTTAATTATTATCCTATACCGCTACCAACGCTACCTATACGTGTACAGTAACAAACGACGCGCTACTCCTCCTCGCGTCGAATTTCTCCTCCAGTCGTCACAACAGCGTGAAGTGTTTCTTCAGCTGTTTCTTCAGCTCGACGCTGTCCGCGTGCTCCGGGTAACACTCCAGCGCCTTCTCCACGCGCTCGTACGCCTCCTGGAACTCCCCCGTCTTGAACGCGAGGAGCGCGTGATTATACGCCGGCTCGAACGCGTGCTCCGCCTCTCTCGACGCCTTCTCAAAGTTGGCCCTCCCCGCCTCGACGTTTCCTTTTCTCAGCTCCAGCACCCCCAGGTTGTTGAAGCTCTCCGCGTGCGTCGAGTCCACGGACACGGCGATCTTTAACGCCTGGTACGCCAGTCCCAGGTCCCCGATCCCGATCGCGACCTGACCGACGTTGAACCACACGTCCGGCGCCTCCTCGTCGTCCGCCATCTTGATCGCGCGCTCGAAACACGCCAACGTCATGTCGTACTGACTCGCGTAGAAGCAACACAAGCCGAGGTTGTTCCACAGTTCCGTGTTGTTCACGCCCATCATGAGCAAGCGGCGGTAGAAACGCAGCGCGATCTCGGGCTGGTCCGTGTAAAAGTGGTTCGCCGCCAAGCACGCGATCGCCTCGACGTTCGACGCGTCCCACTTCAGGACTTCCTTATACAGCGGCACGCCGAGGTGCATGTCGTTGAGCGCATCGTGGATCCTCGCCTGACCCAACAGCATCGACGTCTCCCCGGGGAAGAGCTCCGCGCCCTTGACGTACGTCGCCATCGCCGCCGCGGGCTGGTCTATCCTTATGTACACCTTCGCGAGCTGCAACACCGTCTTGATCATCGGTTGGTCCTTCAGGCTCGACTTGAACTGCTTCTCCGCGTCTCTGTACATGCCGAGCTGGTAGTACGCGACGCCCAGCCTCTCCTTCCACCACCAATCTTTAAAGTTCGCGTTTACCGTCGCGAGAGACGCGAGCTCGACCGCCTTCTTCGGGTTCCGGTCGTGGTGCATGATGTACTCGATCAGCGCTCGCGCCAGCGCGTCCTTCTGCGCGTACTTGCGCAAGTCCAGCTTGTCCACGTCGATGAACGGGCCTCAGGGTCGTTCCATACAAAGCGAAGTCGGGGTGGAGTTGAAAGGCGTCAGATGGAGTTGAAAGGCATCGAGGGCGGGGATTGAAAGCGGGGGGTGGGCGGAGAGATGCGCCGGGCAAAGTCGTTAAGAATCGGCGTTCACCACGCGAACGCGGTCGTATGGGGACCAGTGTATAGAACGCACCCCCAGGTTCCGACAGCTGCGTCGCCGTGCCGAGGCGCGTCAGGCGCGCCGCGGACGAGACCGGTCGCGACGTCCCGGGGCGACCCGAGCCTCGAAACGCGGTCTCGATCGTGTCGCGCGATGATCCCGTGGAAGGGCGCGCGGCCGTCGCCGGCCGCGCGAACCCGGTCATCGGCGCGCCCGCGCGCGTCATCGGACGCATCCCTTGGTTGAACGATGAGAGGCCCGTCGCGACGCCGCCGCCCGCTCTAGACGCGCTCGTGTTCGGTCGCGCGAACGAGGTTCCCGGCCGCGCCACCTGCGCGGTCGCGTTCTCGTCCATCATGATCTCCGCGACGCCCTCCTCCTCCATCTCCGTCTCGTCGATCCAATTCTTCGCCGTCAGCGCGCGCGTCTTGAGGGTCGTTCCGAACGAAGCGATGTCGGGGCGGAGTTCAAAGGCGTCAGACGGAGTTGAAAGGCATCGATGGCGGGGATCGAAAGCGAGGGGCGGGCGGAGAGAGACGCCGGGAGAGAAAGTCCTTAAGGATCGGCGTGCACCACGCCGACGCGGTCGTATGGGGACCAGTGTGAGATAGAACGCGCCTTGAGGACCCACGCCTGTTGGTCGTACGGGTTCTTCTCCAGCATCTTCGTGCACAGGTCGATACACGCGTCGTAATCGCGCGTCGCGTTGAGGTGATGCATCGCGAGCCACTTCGGGTCTAACCCGCCGGACGTGCCGTCCCAGTCCGGCTCGGGGTACGACGCCGACTTCGCGTTCGGCGGCGGCGGCGGCGTCGTCATCGCGCGTGCGGGCGGAGGGGACGCGCGCGCGGCGAGTGGTGGGTGTGTGTGGGATCTGGCGACCTTTCAAACTCGAGGTTGATGCGCGAAATCGAGTCTTCCGACGCGACGCGACGCCGCTGGCGGAGGCTTCTGATTCGGCAGAGGGCGCGCGCGCGGGGCGGTCGACGCGCGCGCCGCCGGGGCAACGAAAATGAGCGCGCGACGCGTCCCGTGGAAGGACTGGGACGAGTGGGAGTGGGTCCGCGCGGGCGTCAGCGGCCACGACGTCGCGCTTCGCGACCGCGCGCTGCGACGCGTCGAGGAGTGGCGAACGTTCCAAGGGCACGTCCCGCACGCGGTGGAGGTCACCGCGCAGCTGATGGAAGCGCGACAGATGGACCGCGGCGTGCCGGGCGCGCCGGGGCCGTTCGTGTCCGAGAGCATGCTTCGGCTGACGTACGCCATGGTGCGCCGCGACACCATGGCGCGCGATGACGATCTCTGATCTCTCCCGTCGTATCTCGCCGTCGACTCGACGCGTCCGCGCGTCCGTCGTCCGTCCCTCATCGTTCGCCCGTCGAGCTAACATCGATCGATCCGACCCCGTCCCCGTCCCCCTCCCGACGCAGGCGCTCGTGAGGATGGTGAACGGCTGCGTGGACCCGTCGCAGAACGGCAAGTACGCCGCGCCGGTGATGACGCTCGCGAAGAAGATCGGCATCCCGGTCCTGCTCGTGAACGTCCGCATGGAGGCGTCGCATCAGGCGCTGCCTCAGGTGCGTTCGAGTCACACTGGTTCCCATACGACCGCGTCGGCGCGATGAACGCGATTCCTTAAGGACTTTTCCCGGCGATTCTCTCCGCCCAGGGTCCCCCGCTTTCAATCCCGACACACCTCGACGCCTTTCAACTCCACGCCTGACGCCTTTGAACTCCACCCCGACGTTCGCTCGTATGGACCCTCGACCCTCAGCTGGACGTCCTTCGGCACGGCACCGAGCTCGCGTTGCAGTGGCTGTTCGAGAGGTACTGGAACGCGCAGCGGGCGGCGTTGGACGCGGTGCGCGAGAAGGCGACGGAGCGCGTCGCGGAGTTGATCGCCGCGGAGGCGGCGTGGCGCGCGCGGCTCGAGCGCGAGAAGGGCGCGGTCAAGGCGAACCGAGGACGCGCGGCAACGGCGGCGAAGAAAAAGAGTCATCAAAAGAGCAAAAAAAGCCACCGTCAAAACGCCGACGACGACGACTCGAGCAGCTCGTCCGACGACGACGCCGTAACCGCCGCGGGGGGCCTAAACCCCGAGGATATGAAGACCCTGAAGGCGAGGCGGAAGACGGCGTACAACGCGCTCGTCGCGAGCGTGCATGACACCGACACCATGACCGTCGTGAACGCGTTGTCGTCGCTCGGCGGCGTCGTGCTCTCTGTCGGCGCCGGGTCGACGCGGGGCGCCGAGGGGGGTGCCGATGACGTGGACATGACGATCGAGGACTGGACCGCCGCGGCGAAGCGCGCGGTCAAGCGGTGGCCGTACCTGCACGAGGAGCTGCTGTTGATGTGCGTCGAGAACGCGTTGACGCTCGCCGCGAACGCGAGCGCGAGCGCGGCGGAGACGGATGCGGCGGCGGCGGTGGCGGTCGCGTCCGTGGACGTCTTCGCCGCCAACTTCGACGCGACGCTGCCGGAGATGCGCGAGGGCGCCGCGGAGGTCATCTTCGGCCCCGGCCCCGTGACGGGCGTCGGCGACCTCGGCGTGCCGTCGCGGCAGCGCGCGCTCGCGTGGCACCTGCTTCGGAAGACGTTGGCGACGCCGGATCCGACGGCGGCGACGGCGGCGATCGGCGACGCGCTGTTGAACGTCGTCGGCGCGGGGAGGAAGTTCTCCGCGAAGGCGGGCGCGATGCTGTCCGGAAGCGCGCCGAAGACGAAGAGCGGCGGCGGCAAGAAGGGCGACGACGCTACCGACGCCACCGACGACGCCGACGACGCCGCGAACGACGCCGCCGACGAGGAGCTTCGCGAGGCTGCGCGAGCCGCGGGCGTCGACGCGGGTGGGAAGAAACGCCGCTCGAAACCGCCGCCGATCACCGCGGGGAAGTGGGAGCTGTGCACGGACTGGACCCCGTGCGCGTGGGGCGAGATCCCGGAGCATATCAAGGGGAAGAAGTGGATGCGATCCGAGCTCGAGGAGGCGGCGGCGGCGGCGGCGGCGGCGCCCGAGGAGAAGGACGTTCCCGAGGAGGAGCGGAGGCGACGAGAGGAGGAGAACGCGCGCGTCGTCGCGGACTTGCTGTGGGGCGCGTGGCCCGGCGATCGCGGGTTGGGGTTCAAAGATTACGTCGGGTACGGCGAGGCCATTCCCGGGGTGAACTACACCCTCGGCGGCCCTTTCAACGACCCGTCGCGGCGGATGATCCCGGGGACAGAGAAGGAGGGGTACCCGAGCGCGAATGAAAAAATTACCCCCGACCCGGGCGTGATCGGACCGATGGAGCTCTTCACCGGCGTTCGGCCTCTGAAATCCGAGCCCAAGCTGGGTTCGGGGAAGACGTTCACCCCGCGACCGGGGCGCGGCGTCGGCGTCGGCGCCGGCGGCGGCGACGCGATGAGAGCGGCCATCGCGGAGGGTCTGCGAGGCGGCGAGTCGCTGACGTTCGTGGACGAAGACGACTCGAGGGACACGGACGAGCTGGACGTCGACGGCGGCGGCGGCGGTGGCGGCGGCGACGGCATGGAGGTGGATCAGATGGACGCGCGCGGCGGCGGCGACGGAGAGGGGGAGGGGGAGGAGGGGGAGGAGGAGGAGGAGGAATACGACGACGAAGACGGGTGGGGGTACGACGAGCGCGCGGATGACGACGCGGATGAAGATTACGACGAAGAAGACGCGGCGGCGGACGAAGTGGCCGCCGCCGCCGCGGACGCCGCCGCCGCCGCCGACGACGACGACGGAGGCATCGCGATCAACGCCGGCGGGGTCACGGTCAACCTCACCGCGGAGGATAAGGACGCGGTCGCGAACGACGTCGAGCTGCTCATGTGAGTCGTCGTCGCGCGCGTGCAATTCAACTCATCGAACGTCAAAAATCAATCGTCGACCGCGGCGGCCGTCTCTCCCCTTCGCGAACACTTTCCCTTCCTTTCCTTTCTTCTCGAATCTCGATTCTCCATTCTCGAATCTCGAAATCAAAACCAGCCCGGGACGAACCGGTGCGGTACGATCTCCCTGTACCGCGTCCAGTCCTCGCCGTACTTTTCCGCGCACCGCCGTTCGTCGCGGCCCGCGCGGTGCGCGATCATGAACCCGAAGAACGTGGGGTACGTCCACGGTAACGCGCGGAACCAGGGCGTTACCCCGCAGGATAGCGCCCAGCACGTGGCCATGATGAAGTCCGCGGTGTAGTGGATCTTGTTCGCGCGGCCGATCCACCCGGACGTGAGTAACGGACTCCCGACGCGCGTTTCGATGAACGTCGGGTCCGTCAGCATCCCCCACGGCAACGACGGGAACGCGAGCGCGCCTCTCGGGACGTAGGTCCCCTGGCGTTGCATCCTGAACCGCGTCCGCTGCGACTGCGCGGTATCCCAGACGTAGTACGCGACCAGCAGCACGAAGAGCACGCTGAGCGACGCGAGGATGGATAACGGCTCGTACACGTCCGTTACGTCGTCGCCCCACGCGGCGTCGGCGGCCGCGCTCGCGTGCGCGATGAAGAACGCGTTCGCGGAGTACAGAAAAGGAACACCCGCGAGGTTCCAGAAGATCAACATCCACCCCCACTTCTCGTGGAATATATCTAACGTGAACGGCACGCTCTCCTCGCCCTTCTGACACGCGTTCGCGTACAGCCAGTGCGCGGTCAGCAGCAACATCGAGGACGAGTTAAACCCGGCTTTCGCGGCCGCGGCGAGCGTCAACACGAACAGCGTGACCCACGACACTCGAATCTCGCTCCACATCTTCAGATCGAGCCTCCCGCTGAAGACGCGCGGGTTGAGCTCCGCGCCGGTGAACCAGTCGTAGATCGTCTTAGGGTCAACGCGTGCAAGTAAAGTGCAAATATGGTCAGTTGAAAGGGACCGACTCGATCAAACGTCGGTCGGCACCGAGGGACGGGTGAAAAACGAAACGTTCGACGCACCTTTCCGACGCAACGGGCGGTGCGCGGCGGCGTCGCCGAGACCGCCGAGACGTACGCGACGACGGACGCGATATCCGCGACGACGATCGCGGTCGTCATCAGGCGGCCCCAGTTGTCCGCGATCCACAGCAGCGGCGCGTCGCCGCGGAAGTAGACGAGCGCGCCGAGGGCGACGAGCGTGACCCACCACCCCGCGAGCGCGTTGCATCTGTACTCGAGTCGAAGCGGCGCTTCTTCCGGCGGTTTCGGGACGGCGTCGTCGGGTTCGATCTCGTCGGTCGCGGCCGCGGTCGCGGTCGCGGCCGCGGCCGCCGCCGCGGAGGGTTTCTTGCGGCGGCGGAGGAGCGACGCTTTGGAAAGCCCTTTCGGCCGCGCCGCCGCCTCCGCCTCCGGGCCGTTCCATACGAGCGAACGTCGGGGTGGAGTTCATAGGCGTCAGTAGGAGTTGAAAGGCGTCGAGGGCGGGGATTGAAAGCGAGAGGTGGGCGGAGAGAGACGACGGGCAAAGTCCTTAAGGATCGGCGTTCACAACGCGAACGCGGTCGTATGGGGACCAGTGTATAGAACGCGCCTCAGCCTCCTTGTGCGTTTGCGTTTCTTTATCCTTCAGCATGACGTGGTCCTTACCGTACACGACGTCGAACGGCTCCGTCTCGATCGGGAGCCCGAGGACGATTGCCCCCGGGAGCGTCATCGCGAGGACCGCCTGCGTTGCGAGGAAGCCGAGGTACGCCGCGACCGTCGCCGGCGTCGGCGTCGCGTGCGCGCGGAGGTCGGCGAGGAGCGCGTTCGGGGAGGTTGGCAGGAAGAGCGCGCCGCCGTGCGCGCAGACGCAGAGGAGCACGTAGAAGGCGGCGAGGTGGGAGAGGAGGACGATGGCGACGACGCCGGGCGTGCCGCCGAACTCGAGGCGCGGGGGGGTCATGGGGATGACGAAGGAGCCCATCTCGTCGGTTGTGTCGTCGTCGTCGTGCGCGGTCGTGGCTTTGGTCGCGGCTTTCGGACGCGACCGAGGAAACAGTTTTCGCCGTCGTGGCTTTTCTCACTTCCTCTCGCGCGCCGCCACGCCGCGTCTCGCGCGCATCGATCATGCCGAAGAAGGGACAAACGCGACCTGGCAAGCCGTTCATCGACTGGTGCGCGGAGAACGGGAAGCGCGGCGAGAGGCTCGCCAACGAGTTCCGCGAGGAGCTGCCGACGGAGCTGACGTATGCGTCGAAGTACAAGGCGAAGTGGAAGTGTTTGAAGTGCAAGCACGTGTGGCGGGCGGCGGTGTTCAACCGCACGAGGAGCGTCAGACCCGCCGGGTGTCCGAAGTGCGCGAATCGCATACCGCTGAGCAAGACGAACAACTTCCTCGAGTGGTGCGAGAAGAACGGCGAGCGAGGCAAGAAGCTGTCGCGCGAGTACGTCGACAAGGACAAGCCGCCGACGGCGGTGACGAAGGGGTCGCCCTACAAGGCGCTGTGGAAGTGCAGCAAAGTCGAGTGCAAGCACGTGTGGCGGGCGCAGGTGAACGACCGCACGAGGAGCGACAAACCCAACGGGTGTCCGATGTGCGCGAATAATGCGCCGGCGAGCAAGACGAAGAACTTCCTCACGTGGTGCGAGAAGAACGGCGAGCGAGGCAAGAAACTGTCGCGCGAGTACGTCGATAAGGACAAGCCGCCGATGGCGGTGACGAAAGCGTCGCACTACAAGGCGAAGTGGAAGTGTGGGAGGTGCTCGCACGAGTGGCGCGCGAGGGTGTCGAACCGCACGAGGAGCGTCACACCCAACGGGTGTCCGGAGTGCAACCCTGTCGGAGGATCTCGACGCGAGAAGCGTAAGCGCGACGACTAAACGCGACGCGACGTGCCGGAGAAAGACGCCGCGGCGGAAGCCGCTTTACGCCAAACTGACTTCTACGTTTCTACTCGTCTAAGGTGACCTCCCACAGCTCGAGCTCGCCGCCGCGCTCGTACATCACGCGCTGCGGGACGTCGAACGGATCGATCCTCCGCGCTCTGAACGCGGACGCGCTCGTCCTCCTGTCCGACACCGCGTCCGACACATTATCCGACACCGCGTCCGACGTTCTCCTCGAAGCCTCCGGGACGTCCGCCGCCGCCGCGAACGACGCCGCGTCCGGGGCGAGTCCGAGGTGCGACAGAAACCGCTCGTGCGCGTGCGCGCGGGGGGCGGCGTCGCCGACCGCAAAGTTCACGCGGCGCTCGCCCGCGAAGATGACCCGCGGGCGCGACGCGGCGGCCGAGGAGATCGTCGCGTGATCGCGACCGTTCCCCGGGGACCGTTCTCCCTCGCGCGGCGCGCGTCGTTTCTCGTCGTGACTGGTTCCCATACGACCGCGTTCGCGTGGTGAACGCCGTTCCTTAAGGACTTCGCCCTCCGCCGCCGCCGCCGTCGCCGCCGCGTTTAATCGACGCAACAACCGCCGCAACGTCCGAAACAGCGCGTCCGTGAGCGCGTCGTCGTACACGCAGTCCGCGCAGACGATCAAGCGGCACTCGTCCAGGGTGTCGACGTCTTCAGGCGGCCACGCCGCGAGGGACGTCCCGCCGCCGCCGCCGCCGCCGCCGCCGTCGTCGTCGTCGTCGTCGTCGTCCATCCAGTCCAACTCTCGAACGACGCACGCGCCGTCCTCCCTCGCGTTCCGCGCGCAGTTCGCCAGGACGCCGTCGCCGACGTCGGTCAGGAACACGCGCCTCGCGCCGCACCGCGCGGCGACGATCCCGGTCAGGCCCGTGCCCGCGCCGAGGTCGAGGACGACGGCGCCTCGCATCGCGTTTCGGGGGTCCGTCGTCGTCGTCGTCGTCGTCGTCGTCGTCGTCGTCGCGGCGCGGCGCTCTTCCCCCGCGGCGACGTGCGCGAGCCAGTCGCACGCGAGGAGCGCGCCGCGCCATACCTGAGCGCGCGCGGGACGGGGGATCGAGCGGGCGGTCAATAGCGGGAGACGAAATCCAAACGATCGCAGGTGCCGACTCGCCGCGCCGCGGTCGGGGATGCAGACGGGGACGGGGATGGAGACGGGGACGGGGACGGGGACGGGGACGCGGGGACGATCTCCCGCGCACCTGCATCCCGACGTCGCGAAGGCTCGTGTCGACGTCGTGTCGTATCGTCACCGCGCTCCCGCGGCGGCGGCGCTTGCGCTTCACGACCAGGTCGCCATCGTCGTCGTCGTCGTCGCTCGCGTCGTCGTCGTCGTCGTCCCGCCTCCACGGCGCGGCGAAGAACTCAAACCGCGAGATCCCGCCGCCGCCGTCGCCGCGGCCGACGTGCACCTCGGAGAGAAACTTCTCGTCGGCGTCCGCGTTCGGCGCGCCCGCGGCGGGGGCGGCCATGTGCCCGCGCGCGACGCGATGTGCCGGGCGCGCGCGCAGAGCGGGGAAAACCTCTCGCGGATCTCCGATCTCCGATCTCGCGTTCGGCCGATGACGCGTATCAGATGTGTATGACGTCACACTCCGCGCCGCGCGCCGCAGGACCCGCCCTCGCGCGCCCCCCCCGCTTCCGCGCGCTCGCGCTCACGAGCGTGATGTCCCACGCGTGCCTCGCCCGCGGCGCGGCCGCGGCCGCGTCCGCGCGCGCGTCGTCGTCGTCGTCGTCGTCGTCGTCGTCGTCGGCGCCGTCCGCCGCGACGAGATCCGCGGAGAGACTCCGAAGAAGAATAAACACGATGACGACGACGACGCCGTCGTCGAAGAGTCGTCGTCGTCCGCGCGGCGCGCTCGCGATCCGCGCCGCGCAGTCGCGCGCGACGCCGTTCGGCGCGCCGCCGTTCTCCTCCTCCTCCTCCTCCTCCGCGCCGCCGCGGCAGCCGACGCCGGAGGAGGCGATGAAGCGTCTAGAGGAAGCGACGACGCTCGCGTCTGAGATCCTCGAGATCGCCGCGTCCACGGGGACCAACGGCGTGACGCGCACCTTCTCCGCGCTGGACGCGCTGACGAAGCTCGCGGTGCGCACGGCGCAGACGTACGCGGACGACCCGGCGGCGCCGCCGCCGACGCCCGCGAGCGCGTTGCGGCAGACGTTCGAAGCGCTGGGGGCGACGTACGTGAAGCTGGGGCAGTTCATCGCGTCGGCGCCGTCGGCGTTTCCGAAGGAATTCGTGGACGAGTTTCAAAAGTGCCTGGACGAGACGCCGGCGACGCCGTTCGCGGAGATGAGGGCGATCGTGGAGGAGGAGCTGCGAGAGAAGGGCGCGGGGAGCGTCGAGGACGTCTTCTCGTTCGTCGACCCCACGCCGCTCGCGTCCGCGTCCGTCGCGCAGGTGCACCGGGCGACGCTCCGCGGGTCGAACAAAGACGTCGTGATCAAAATTTTGAAACCCGACGTCGAGGCGACGCTGTCAGCGGACTTGTCGTTCGCGCTCGTCGCCGCGAAGGTGTTGCAGTTTCTGAACCCCGAGCTCTCGCGCGCGTCGCTCGTCGACATCGTAGGCGACGTGCGCGCGAGCATGCTCGAGGAGACGGACTTTCGAAAAGAGGCGGAGAACGTCGCGGCGTTTACGAGGCGCGTTCTATCTGACACTGGCCCCCATACGACCGCGTTGGCGTGGTGAACGCCGTTTCTTAAGGACTTTTCCCGGAGTGTATCTCCGCCCGCCCCACGGTTTCAACCCCCGACACACTCGATGCCTTTCAACTCCGCTTCTGACGCCTTTCAACTCCACCAGGTATCTGGAACAAAACGATCTCTCCGGCGTCGCGACGGCGCCGTACGTGTACGAACGATACAGCGGCAAGCGCGTGATGACGATGGAATTTCTGGACGGCGTCGCGTTGACCGACCTCGACGCGATCAAGGGCGTGAGCTCCGACCCGGAGCTGACGCTCGTGAACGCGTTGAACGTGTGGTTCGGGTCCGTCCTCGCGTGCGAGTCGTTCCACGCGGACGTGCACGCGGGTAATCTGTTGGTGTTGCGAGACACCGGGAAGATCGGCTTCATCGACTTCGGGATCGTCGGGCGGGTGTCGCCGAGCACGTGGAACGCGATGCAGACGTTCCTGCAGAGCACGGTGAGCCGCGAGTACGACCGGATGGCGCTCGCGCTCGTGACGATGGGCGCCGCGGACGACGACGTGGACGTGGAGAAGTTCGCGAGAGATTTGAAACGCGTCTACGACGCCATCGACGCGGTGGAACCTTCGGTGGTCGTCTCCGAGGATCTCGACACCGGGGCGCAGCGCGCGTCCGTGGCCGTGGACCAGCAGGAGATCGCGACGCTGGTCACGGAGCTGATCGTCGTCGGCGAGGAGAACGGCGTGAAGTTCCCTCGGGAGTTTGGTTTGCTGTTGAAGCAGGTTCTGTACTTTGACCGGTACGTGCAGGTGTTGGCGCCGGATCTGCAAGTCGTGGACGACGACAGACTCGAGTTCATGGACGCGGTCGCGGTGGACGTCCAGCCGAAACGTCTGGCATAGATCCGTTTTGTTTTTGAGAAGATAAAAAGAAGAAATGATAAATGAAATAGATAAATGAATTACAGTACACGCGCCGTCGTCGTCGTCGTCGTCGCATCCTCACAGTAACTTTTTCGCGAGAAACGCGCACGCGGGCTTCTCGAAGTACCGGTTGATCACGAACGCGACGACGAAGACGAAAAACACGAACCAGATCACGAGCACGTCCATCCAATGCGCGCCCGGGTTCTGCTTGAAGCAGTCGAACCACGTCTCCGGCACCGTGGAGTTCGCCGCGAGGTTTTCACGACGTTGACGTAGATCCACACGACGAACTGCATGACGTACGCGGCGTAGGTTAACCCGCCGAGGAAGGTCATGACGCGGTTTCTGAGGACCACGCGCGCGATCCAGCTGTCGTTCGGCGCGACGGTGATGCCGTAGACGAAGTACGCGACCGCGAGCGTGAGGAAAAATTCGTTGAACATTCGCACGTTGATCTTCTGGTCTTCGTACGCGCACGACAGCGCGGAGGAGACGACGCACCACAGCGCGAGTTTCCACCCGAGGGAGTCGGTCTGCTGGCCGATGTATCCGACGTAGTCTGGGTTCGCGGCGTCGCCGTTGCGATGCGCGCGGACGCGTTTCGCGGCGAAGAGCATCCCGAGCATGAACACGGGGAGGCGGAACGGCGGCCAGGATCTGCGGCGAGTTACGGGTGGTTTTCGGCGGATGAACGAGGGAACGACACGTCAGCACACTTGGACGCACAGAAGAAGAAACGAAACGACGACCATCCACGCGACATCCATCGTGCGATGAATAAGAAAAGAAAAGAAGCGCGTCAAACAAACGAACGAACGACATGACGTTCACGCACCGTGCGTTGAAGTACGCGCGAACGATGTTGAAATCCTCCTCGAGCGCGCCCGGATCCGTGTCGGGCGCGTCCGGGTCCGCCCACTCCTTCTTGAACGTCTCGCTCATGAAGAACGACATCGCGCACACGGGAATCACGATCGACCAAAAGAACAGCCACCGCGCGCGCGTGACGTAATTTCGATCGATCTTCTTCGCGTCGAGCTCCGCGACGACGCCGGCGCTTCGACCCGCGTTGGGCCCGGCGGTGACCTGCGCGACGTCGGGGTGGAGTTGAAAGGCGTCAGAAGCGGAGTTGAAAGGCATCGCGGGCGGGGATTGAAAGCGAGGGGTGGGCGGAGAGACACGCCGGGCAAAGTCCTTAAGGAATCGCGTTCACCACGCCAACGCGGTCGTATGGGGACCAGTGTATAGACCTGCGCGACGTGCGTCTCTTCCTTGTCAATCTTTTTAAGCATCCGCCGCGCGAGGAACGGGAACAGGAAGTAGAACCCGCACTGCGTCGAAACGCTCCACATCGGTGCGTTCCAGTAATGCATCGAGCTGAATATCCACGTGTGCATGAAGAACGGGTTCAGGATCCACCCGGCCCACATGTGATACTCCGAGCTCTTATTTTGCCACAGGTAGTAGTCGTCGCGAATCGTGGCGTAGTTTACGTACACGATGGGCGCGAACGCGAGGATCGCGAGCCAGTGCATCGGGACGAGACGTATGTACCGCTTCTTGATAAACGTCTGTGCGATGAGCGTTACGATCGATTGGAGAAGGGAAGGAAGGGACGGATGGATCCGTGAGCGAGGGTCACGCGGAGGTGAGGGAGGGAGGGAGGTCGCTTCTTTTAACGAATGGATCGATCGCCGACGGGACGGACGCGGCCGGGGGAACCTACCCAGTACCCGAACTCCGGCTCGTTCACCTTGTCCGCGTACCCGATGTACACGACGTACCCGGTGATGAAGAAGAACACCGTCACCGCCATGCCGCCCTGGGATGGATATGGGAGGAGAGGGAAGCGAGAGTCGAGTCGGGCGGGCGGCTAGCGGCGGCGGCGGCGTCGAACGCGGATGCGGGAAACGAACGAACCGAAACCGACGACGGTTCACGTTCCCGAAAAAGAATCAATCCCGCGCGATGCGATGCGACGGACGGCGCGGCCGACGACGCGCGGCCGCCGCCGCCGCCGACGACGACGACGACGATCGCGGCCGTCGCGACGCGCGCGCGGCCGTTCGCGAGGGATATGAATCGGCGTACTGCGATACGAAGCGACGCGCACCTGAAGCTCGATCTCGCCGTGCGACTTCTTCCCGTACCACTGGATCCAGTGCTGGCACAGCACCGCGAGGCACGCGATGACGCGCACGCCCGTGATGGCGCTCGTGTCGATCCTCGGCTTCTTCGACGACGGCGGCGCGGGCGTCGTCGGCGTCGGCGTCACCGGCGCGACGAGCGGCGGCGCGGACGGCTTCGGCTTCGCAAGGGGCGCGTCTTCGAACGCCGTCATCTCCCGCGAAGAGACGCGCGGGGTGGAGAGGCGATGAGATTTCATCACGTCGCCGTCGTCGTCCGCGGCGACCGTCGCGACGACGACGACGGTCGCGTCGTCCTCGTCCTCGAGCGGCGCGGACGAGATCTCCACCGGCGGCGGCGGCGGCGGCTTCGGCTTGCGTTTCGGAGGCATCGCGTCGCGTCGCGCGGCCGTGGACTGACGAGACGCGCCCGTTCGAGGAGTGCTATTTCCGGCGCGATCTCAACCGTCTCGGACGCGCCAAATGCGGACTGGACTGGATTGATGATGGACTGGCGGACGAAAAAAGGAAGGAAGCGTTGGAGGAGGGGACGGAAGGGGTCCGTCGCGTGCCAGCCTGCTGATAAAGAATCGATTCGCGTTAATAATCAATCACTTCGCGTCGTCTCGCGGCGTCGCGTTCCCCGCGCGCGCGCCGCCGTACCGCCGCGCGCGCGTCTTCTTCCCGCCCTTCGCGTCGTCCGTCGCGCCTGCCGCCGAAATCGCCGCCCTCGCCGTCGCCGTCGCGACGAACGTCGTCAACGCGCGAATCAACGCCTCGGGGGCTTCCAGATGCACCGCGTGCCCGGCGCCGGGGACAACGACCACCTCGACGCGAGAAGAAGTGTCTCTATCGTCGCCGTCGCCGCACTCCCTCGCGAGCGCGCGCGCGATCGCCGTAAACTTCACGTCCTCGCCGCCCGCTACGAAAAGCGCCCCCCCCGCGCGCGCGACGTCGCGGACGTCTCGCCCCGTCACCGCCGGCTGTCGCCCCGGGGACATGCCGCGCAGGACGTCCGCGAGCTCGCGCGCGTCGCCGCTGTTCCGCGCTCTGGCCGCCGCGATCTTCCCGCCGCGCCACCGCGGGTGCGTCGACAGCGCGCGGAACAGCGGCTGCGCGTACCACGCGGTCGCGAACGGAGCGACGCCGCCGTCGCGCAACGCGGCGGCGGCGGCGTCGTCGCGCGCCGCGCGCGTCGCTCGGTCGATCGAGTCGACGATCCCGCCGCTGCCTCCGATGGACGCGACGGCGTGGACGACGTCGGGGCGCGTCGCCGCGAGGTGAAGCGCGATGCGCGCGCCGAGGGAGTACCCCACGACGATCGCTTTGGACGCGCCGAGCGCGGGAATCAACGCCGCGACGGCGTCGGAGACGGATTCGACGTCGTACTTGGATCGGCCGTCTACACTGGTCCCCATACGATCCCGTTCGCGTGGTGAACGCCGTTCCTTAAGAACTTTTCCGCCGTCGTCGTCGTCGTCGTCGTCGTCGTCGTCCTTCTCTTCGTCGTCCTCCTCTTCGAGCGGGGTCAGCGCGCTGCCGCCGTGCCCCGGGAGGTCGATCGCGACGACGCGGTGCGATCTCGAGAGCCCCGACGCGATCGCGTGCCAGTCCTCCGCGCCGCCGAGAAACCCGTGAAGGAGAAGCACCGGCGGACGCGCGTCGCCGCCGCCGCCGCCGCTGTCCACGACGCGGATGCTGTACGTTCCGCGGCTCGTCTTCGCCTCGTAGACGCTCTCCGCGCCCCACGCGGTCGTCGTCGTCGTCGTCGTCGTCGTGTTCATCTCCGACACCGCCGCGGTCGTCTTCCTCCTCGCGGACGCCGCCGCCGGCGCGAGCGCGACGCGGACGCCGCCGCCCGCCGAAGCCGACGAAAAGTCCAACGGCGCCGCGGGGGGATCGAACACGTCGCCGTCGAGCCACTCCCCAGTCCCCAACCCGTGCCGCATCGGCGCGAGCCTGGCGACGAGGCTCGGCTCTCGGTCCGCGGCGGCGACGCCGACGCCGACGCGCGCGGCGGCGGCGTCCCACCCGTCGTCGTCGTCGCCGCCGCCGCCGGACGCGTCGTCGTCGTCGTCGTCGTCGGCGGCGGCGGCGGCGGCGGACGCGTCCGCCGCGGCTTTCGCTGCGGCGGCGTCGAGCGCGCGGGCGAGGTTCGCGCACGCGTCCGCGCCGACGCCGGCGTCGAACGCGGTCGTGACGACGCTCGCGACGCCGCGGCTCCTCGCCGCGGCTGCCGCGCGCGCGCACCGTTCGAACCCTCCGATCACGGACGGTTTCAAGACGATCGCGACGACGCCGTTGCTCGGTTCGAACAGCTCGATCAACGCGTTCAGCGACCCCGTCGAGTCGTCGTCGTCGTCGCCGTCGCCGTCGCGAGCGCCGTCCGCGCCGCCGCGCATCGCCTCGTCCACGCTCTCGTCGAGCGCGACCGGCACGCCCGTCGTGCAGTGGAACGCGGCCAAGTCCACGAGGTCGCTCACGGGCTCCTCGACGTACTGCACGCGGCAGTCGATGATCTGAGGGCCATTCCATACAAAAACAGTTCACCGGTCAATTGAAAGGGGGAGCGATCAATTGTTGAAACCGGGCGATGGGTGAAAAACTTTTGTATAGAACGCACCTGGAGCCCAAACGTGAGCGCGTCGTTGAGGCCCCAGCGTCGGTTCGCGTCGCATCGAATCTCGACGTCGTCGCCGACGGCGTCTCTCATCGCCTTGACCTTCTTCGCGTCGTCGAACGCGCCCGCGGTGCCCTCGCCGCGCGCCACCTTGAGCTTGAGGCATCGGAACCCCTTCGCGACGAGATGTCTCGCGGCGTTCGCGACGTCCTCGGGCGTCGCGAGCGCGTCGTCGGGAATCAACGCGTTGATCTCCACGAAGTTCTCCGAGTCCGCCGCCGCCGACGGCGACGAGGCGTTCCCCGCGTCGCCGAGCAGTAAAACGCTCGCGAGCGGCGCGTTACATTCTCCTCCTCCTCCTCCTCCCCCCGAGGACGACGATCTACACGCGAGCGCGGATAACACCGCGGTCTCGAGCGCGAAACGCACGGACGGCAGCAGCGCGTCCTCGCGCACGCCGCACGCGGACGTCAGCCACTCGGCGACGGCACCGTTAAGCAGCGGCAGCGTCGCGTCCACGAAAACCCCGCCGCCGCCTGAACCGCCGCCGCCCGCGGCGGAGCCGTCGACGATGGACGCGACCGTCCGCAACTGCGCGCCCGCGGCGTCGTGCGACTCGAGGTGAAGGCCCGGGAGCGGGCTCGCCTCGCCCCACCCGATCGAGCCGTCGTCGAGGACGACTTTCAGCAACCATCCGCGTCGGACGGCGTCGTCCGCCGTCGCCGTCGCCGTCGCCGTCGTCGTCGGCGGTCGACGCAGCGGCAGCGTGAAATCCGTCACCTCCGCGCTTATCACCCGCGGCGTCGCCTTCGCCTTCGCCGCCGCCGCCGCCGCCGCGCCGCCGCCGCCCTCCAGCAGCCGCAGCGCCGCGCTCGCCGCCGCGGCGACGCGAGCCTGCACCGCGCGATGCTGCTTCAAGTTGGACGCGCGGGAGGTCGACACCTCGACGACGTTGTGCCTTCCCTCGCTCCACGCCGCGCGCAGCGCCTTCTTCAACCCCTCCGGCGTGCTCGGATGCGCGTGCGCGATCCTGTGCGCGTCGCACAGGCCTTTTCGGCTCACGTCCGGCGGCGTCGCGAAGAGCTTCGTGAACGCGCCGGGATCGATCTGGTCGGCGACGGGGAGGAAGCTGAAGATGCCGCCGCCGCCGTTGTTGACGACGACGATCGTCACCGGCGGCTGCCCGGGCCGCTCGCGGAGTAACAGTAACCCGTTGCTGTCATGCTGGAACGAAACGTCGCCGATGAGCAGCGTGACGGGCTGGGAGAGGCCCGCGGCGTACCCCGCCGCGGTGGAGATGATGCCGTCGATGCCGCTCGCGCCGCGATTCGCCGCGACGGGCGCGCCCGGTCCCCCCGCGCCGCCGCCGCCGCCGCGTCCTCCTCCTCCTCCTCTCGCCGAGGATCGCAGCCCCGAGAGCGCGTCGACGTCGCGGATCGGCATCGAGTTCCCGATGAAAAGACCGCTCGACGCGGGAAGCGCCTCGGTCACCGCGAGCGCGACCGCCATCTCGGAGATGCCCTCCTCGGACTCGATGTCGCGGAGCGCGGCGTCGGCTTCGCGCGTCGCCGCGGCGTCGATCGCCGCGAGCTTCTCGCGAAACGCGACGCACGACGCGTGCCCGTCGCTGCCGACGTAACACCCACTCGAAGAAACGCCAATATTCGAGCCGTTTCCAACCACATACGTCCCGCCACCCCCGCCACCCCCGCCAGCGCCGTCGCCGTGACGACCGCCGCCGAGCAGCGTCTCCAGCGCGGTAGCCACCGCGGACGCGTCCGACGCGACGTGCAACGAGACGCAGTGGCCGGGGTCGACGCGCGCGTCTCGGTTCGTCGCCACCGCCCACGCCGCGCGTCGATCGATCGCGGCGCGCTCGAGCGCGGTCTGCACGCGCTTCGACGTGATCCTCGGGTTGATCTGCACGATGACGTCCGGGTCGAACCACTCGCGGAACTCCGGAGAGCACAGCGCGAGGTCGAGGCCGTCGAGAAGGCCGGGGCAGACGCCGCCCGCCACGGACCACGAAGAAGCCCGCGGCGCGCTCGACGATCCCCCGATTTCGGCGCCGCGCACGCGAAGCCCCGACGCCGCGTCCGCGACGACCGCCCAGCCGAGAAGGGCGGCGATCTCGCACGCGGCGAGCGCGTCCGAAGCCGTCCCGCCGCCGGCGACGACGAGCAGCCCGCGCCGCGCGGATCGCACGAGCGCGCACAGTTCCCCGACAGCGCCGTCGCCGTCCGCGCCGCCTGGGTGGAGTTCAAAGGCGTCAGTTGAAGTTGAAAGGCGCCGAGGGCGAGGATCGAAAGCGAGGGGTGGGCGGAGAGATGCGCCGGCAAAAGTCCTTAAGGATCGGCGTTCACCACGCGAACGGGGTCGTATGGGAAGCAGTCTCACCTCCGCTCGCGCCGCTCGCGCCGCCGCTCACGAACGGCGCCGCGCGCCGCTCCCACCCCTCGAGCCCCCGCAGGTCCCGCGCCGGATCCCACGCGCTCTTCACCGGCCCGAGCGGGTCGCGGAACTGCACGTTCAAATGCACGGGACCCGGTCGATCGCCGTGGAGGTGTCGCGCCGCCGTCGCCGCCGCCGTCGCGTAGACGCGCGCGGGCGCGCCGTCGCCGGGCGGGGGCAAATCCACGGCGTAGCGCGCGAACCCCTCGAAGATCTTCACCTGGTCGATCGTCTGGTTCGCGCCCGTGTCGCGCAGCTCCGGGGGGCGGTCCGCGGTGAGCAGCAGCAGCGGCGCGCCGCTCTCGTGCGCCTCGACGCACGCGGGGAGCAGGTTGGCGACCGCGGTGCCGCTGCTCGTGATCACCGCGGCGGCTCTGCCTCTTCCTTTGCCGTACCCTAGGGCGTAAAATCCTAAACTCCGCTCGTCCACGCACACGACGACGCGCGCGGTCTGGTGCTTCTCCGCCGCGAGCGCGAGCGGGGTGGATCGAGACCCGGGCGCGACGCAGAAGACGTGGACCCCGCCGTGGACGAGCTCGCCGATCAGGACGTCCGCCCACGCCGCGTTGGCGTTGACGGCGGCGTCGAGGCTGGGTTTTTGCGCGAGTAACGCCTCGAGGGGGCGCGTTTTTAGGTTCAGCTCGCGCCACTCCGCGGCGCTGTCCGCGGCGGCGACGACGCCGACGCCGGCGAAGAGTTTCACGTCCACGCCGGACGGAGACACGAGCGCGGATCGAATCGCCACGGCAAACTCCGCGGCGTCGCGAGACACCCACCCCACCGGTCCCGCGTACAACCCTCGATCGAAGCTCTCGGACGCGCGAATCGCGCGCAGCGCCGCGCGCCTCGGATGCCCGCACACCGCGGGCGTCGGATGCAGCGCTCTGAGAACGTCCGCCTCGTCCTTCCCGGGCGCGAGCTTGGCGCCGAGCCGCGCGTAGAGGTGCTGGACGGAGACGTGCCGCAAGACGCCTTTTTCCAACTCTGCGTTGACCCCGCGCGCGCCCCCGTCCGCGACGGAACCGAGCGCGCGCCGCACTTCCTCCCGAACGATCGCGAACTCCTCGTGCTCTTTCGGCGAGAGGAGCATCTGGTACGCGAGCGCGGCGTCCTCGCCCTCGTCCGCGCCGCGCGGGCGCGTCCCCGCGACGGCCTCCGACGCGGCGTGGCCGTCCCTCGACGAAAATAAACGCTCGGGCGTGGATCCGACGAAAGCCGCGCCCGACGGGTGGATCAGCGCGAACTGGTACGCGTCAGGGTCGCGCGCGCGGAGGGAGGACACCAGCGACAGCGCGTCGATCGCGTCCGAGAGCGCGAGCGTCGTCCGGCGCGCGAGGACAACCTTGCGGAGCGGCGCGAGCGCGTCGTCGTCGACGTCGTCGGCTTCAGTCGCTTCGCCCTCCGCCACCGCCATCGCGTCCGCTACGCGCTCCGCGCTCGCCGCGGAAGCGCCGCCGCCGCTCTCAGGGTCCACGTCCGTCGCGCCCCATCCGAGACCGATGCTCCCGATGTCGTCCGCGTCGGACCAGTCCCCGCTGTTGAAATCCGACCCTGGTGCGAGCGCGCTGTTCGTAGCGTTCGCGCCCATCCCCGCCGCCATCGCGAACGCCTCGAGATCTCTCATCACGCTCGCGGGCGGCGCCTCCACGCCCGCGGACCGCCCGAGCTCCAGGAGCTTATCGCGTATCACGCTCCGTTCGTCTCGTCGCCGTTGATCGCCGGGGCCCGCGCCCACCGATGAGCCGGGTCCGTAGATCCCGTCGCCGGACGCGAACGCGTCCACGTAACTGTCTTGCTCCTCCTTGTACGCGTATTCCTCGTCCCACACGTAGGTCCTCGCCGGGCCGGATCCGGCGGTCGCGGTCGCGCTCGCGGTCGCGCTCGGCGGCGCGGCCGCCTCGCGCTCGGCCGCCTCGCGCTCGGCCGCGGCTCTCGCCGCCTGAACCGCCGCCGCCGCCGCCGCCGCCTCTCCCTCGCGCAGCGACTTGAGCAAACCGTCCACGACGTCCGTCCATCCGGACCGGTCCGGTCGCAGCTCGCGCGAGAGCACCCGCGCGGCGCCGGGAGGGAGCCGCGCGACGCCGCCGCTCGTCGTTTCGGTCGTTCTTTTGTCGTCGTCGTCGTCGTCGTTCGCGTTCAAGCCGCTTCGGATCCGAACCGGCGCGTGCGCCTCCGACGCGGCGTCCACGGCGTCGACGGCGGCGGCCACCGCCGCCGCGAAATCCCCCGCCGTCGCGCCGCCGCCGCCGCCGCCGCCGCCGATCGACGTTCCATCTTCCCCCGCATCATAACCACTACTCCGCTCCCACGCGACGTGCACCGCGACGGTGCAGCACCGCGTCCCCTCCACCACCTCCAGCAGCGGCAGCGCGAAGTAGTGCCCCCCAAACGCCGCCCACTCCTCGTCCGCGCCGCCAGGTCGCGCCGCGTCGAACCGACCGCATCCGTACGCGCGCGGGCCGCCGTCGCTCGGCTCGCACGTGTGCGTCCACCGCCGCACGCTCGCGAGCTGCGTCGCGCCGAAGGCGTCGGGGGAGGTCCAGACGCACGCGCCGCCGGCGGCGGCGACCGCGCCTCGAGGGTCTGCGCGCCAGCCGGGAGGTTCCGCGTGCGCCGCCGCGTTTTCCGACGCAGCGAAGGAGTCGTCGTCGTCGTCGTCGTCGTCGTCCGCCGCTGAGCGTCCGCGGGCGCCGCCGGCGCCGGCGCGCTCCGCGCGGACGCTCGGCGGCGGCGTCCTCGGGGACATGTAATACATCGGCAGCAGCGCGGGCGCGTCTCTGGGGAGCCGGGAGAGCCACTCGAGGGCGTCCGCGCCGCGAGGGATCGCGACGGTGAGTCGGAATAATCCGGAGCGGAACGGCGGGACGGCGCCGCCGCCGGCGTCGAGGACGAGCCCTCGCAGGCCGTCGCGGAGGCGTCGCAGCGCGTCGCTCGCGCTCGCGGCGGCGCCGAGGTGGATGTGCTGGGACGTCTCCACCGGAGAGCGGGTCCGCGAGGAGGAGGAGGAGGAGGCGGAGGACGACGCCGCGCGCGACGACGCGTCGTCGTCGTCGTCGTCGTCGTCCAGCGCCGGAACGATGTCCGCGGCGTCCGTCGCGACCGCCGCGCGCGTCGTCTCGAGCTTCCCCCCCCCCGCGCTCGGATCCGCGACGCGGCGACGTCGCGGCTTCTTCCCTCTCGCGGGCGCGGGGTTCGATCCGCTCGATCGCGCGCCGCTCGCGGACGCGGACGCGGACGCCGCGCGCCGCGCGCCGCGCGTCGGACGGACGACGACGACCCCGCCACCGCGGCGAGACGAGCTCGACGCGGTCGCCGGCGACGGCGCCGCGCCCGCGCGCGCGGGACGCGTCGTCAACGGCGCCGCGGCCGCGAAGGACGCCATCGCTAGATCCGCGGCGCGTCTGCGGGCGCGCGCGCGGAGAGGAGCCCGCGCGGTCGCCGCGGGTGCGCCGACGTCGGGTCGCGCTATCCGCAATGAATGCCGTGATTGCCCTCCTCGCTCGCGTCTCTGGGAGAGATCCGCGCGCTTCGGTCAAGTCGCCGCAGTGTCAGACCTGTCGCCGGGGCCTCGCCTCGCCCGGGCTTTTTCACATTTTCAAACCGAGGCGGCCCACCTCGGCACTTCGTCCGGCGCGACCGCCCCCCCCGCGGCAAAAGTGGTGACCATGATCCTCTCCCCGGAGGCTCCCCGTCGAATGTGCGCGCCTCCCCGCCCGCGCCGCGTCGTCGCGCGCGGACGCCGCGTCTTGATCGATCGCTCGCCTCCCGGGGCCCCTCGACTCGCCTCGGGGACTCCACGAGATCTCGCGCCAGCCTGACATATATCGTCCGTCGTCCCCGCGCCCCACCTCGCGCCCACCCGTCGTCCCGTCCCGTCGTCGCAGGTACGTCAAGCTCGACCTCGACGCGGAAGCCGTGCCGGTGATCAACTACAAGAAGCTCAAGCGCGAGCACGACGCGAAGGCGGGGGCGAGGCCGACCGCGGGGCGCGGCGAGGATGGCGATTCCGGCACCCTCGCTCCCGGGAGCGACGAACAAAATCAGGTGCGTTCTATACACTGGTTCCCATACGACCGCGTTCGCGATGTGAACGCCGATCCTTAAGGACTTTGCCCGGCGCGTCTCTCCGCCCATCCCTTGCGTTCAATCCCCGCCCTCGACGCCTTTCAACTCCACCTGACGCCTTTGAACTCCACCCCGCCATCGCCTTGTATGGAACGACCCACAGCAACAAAAGCAGCAGCAACAAAAGCAGCCGTCGTCCGATCCGCTCGCCATGGCGTCCCTGCGCATGGGCGGCGCCCCGCCCGCGAAGGCCAATAAGAACGCGAAGAACGGCGCGACGACCGGCGCGGGGAACCACATGGCCGCGGTGATTCGCAGGATCGAGGGCTTCTACAGCGCGCCTCGGTGCCGCGATTCGGACGACGACGACGACGAAGACGACGAGCCCGAGCGCGAAAACGTCGACGACGACGACGACGACGACGACGACGACGACGACGACGCGAGCGCGTCCGAGGGCGAGGAGATCGACCCGAACGACGCGGACGCGGTCGCCGCGCAGCAGGCGCGAAGGGAGGCGAAGAAGGCTGCGAAGGCCAAGGCCAAGGCTGAGCAGAAGAAGAAGCGGTCCGCCGGCGGCGGCTACGAAGAGTGGTACGACCTGGACGACGACTTCATCGACGACGAAGAGTTGGACGAGTACTTTGAAGAGAACGGGCGGAAGGATAAGCTCGGCGGGAAGGGCGGGGATAGGTTCTACGTGAACAAGGGCGACATCGAGTTCGTGGACGACGGCACCGGCGCCGCGGCGGCGCACGACCGAGCGAAGCGAATGAAGATGACGACGGTGGGAGGAGGAGGGAGCAAATCGGAGAATTTCGGCGACTTCAGCCCCGAGGACGCCTCGCTCGCGGGGAACCAACGCGCCGCGGGTCTGAAGTGGAGCGAGCACGAGATGGCGACGCTCACGAAGGGCGTGCAGCGGCACGGACGGAAGTGGATGACGATCAAGCGCGACAGAGAGTTCGCGCCGACGCTCAGAGCGTTTTCAAACGCCGCGATGAAGGCGCGTTCTATTTCCACACTGGTCCCCATACGACCGTGTTCGCGTGGTGCACGCCGATCCTTAAGGACTTTACTTCCCGGCGTTTCTCTCCGCCCAACAACCCCTCGCTTTCAACGCCCGACCCTATGACGCCTTTCAAATCCGCTTCTGACGTCTTTCAACTCCACCCCGCTCGACCCTCAGCACAAGTGGAAGATGATGGTGCGCGAGCAGGCGCGGGCGAACGCCGCGGGGCTCGTCGCGGGGGGCGGCGGCGCCGGCGGCGACGGCGCGGGGGCGGGAGCGGGCGCCGCGGGGTCGGGGTCCGTCGCGACGGCGCCGTCGCCGCCGGCGCGACCGCCGCCGGAGCCGGCGCCGGCGCCGCAACCGGCGACGGCGCCGCCGCCGGCGACGGCGCCGTCGCCGGCGGACGCCGCGACCGTCGCCGCGATGCAGCGCGCGATGGCGGCCGCGAACGCCGCGGCGGCGCTGCGCGGCTCGCCGATCACCCCCGCGGGGGTCACCCCCTCGCCGCCGACAGACTCCGGCGGCGGCGCCGCGGGCGCGGGCGCGGGCGCGGCGATCAAAACTTTCGTCGTGTCCAAAAGCACCGCGTCGTCATGGACGTCCGTCCACGGCGCGAACGGCGCGTGGTCGCCGGTGCTGACCGCGGCGATCGAGGACGTGCGCGCCGTCGCGGAGACGCTGACGCCGCCGGAGAGGGGCTCGGAGCCCGGCGCGCGACTGCCGCCGCTCCCGGACGCGCTCCTGGTTCCGCTCGCCGAGGTTGTCAAGATCGTCAAAGGCGGGGACGGAGAGAGCGCGTTGCCGAGGGGGTTGATCAAGAGCTTGATGGAGTTTATGGAGCCGTTCTGTTCCGCGACGACGCTGCAGCGGCGGATGTCGATGATGAAGTGAAGTGAATCGATGTCGCGCGATCACGGGGACAGGGGAGGGAGGGACCGGATCCCGGACGCGCGCGGCGCGATGTAGTGTACTACTTTCATTTGTACTGGCGGTGTACTATCTATTGACGACGACGCGTCTGCGCGTACTCTGCGCCACGTCGTCACCACTTCCCGCGGCCGCGTCCTCCGCCCCTTCCGCCGCCAAACCGCCCGCCTCTTCCGCCGCCGAACCGCCCGCCGCCGCCGCCGAATCGTCCCCCGCGACCGCCGAATCGACCCCCGCCCCCGCCGAATCGTCCCCCTCCTCTCCCTCCCTTCCCTCCTCGCTGCCGCTCCGCCATCTCCAGCAGCACCTCCGGGATCTCCTGTTCCGCGCCCTGCAAGATCTGCACGAGCTCCTTCGCCTGATGCGCGTTGTCGCTCGTGAAGAAACAGTGCGCCTTGCCCGTGAGCCCCGCGCGACCGGTGCGTCCGATTCTGTGGACGTAATCTTCCGTCTGAAGCGGAAAGTCGTACACCAAGACGACGGCGACGCCGGGGATGTCCAACCCTCGCGCGGCGACGTCCGTGGCGACCAGCAGCGGCGCCTTCCCTTTCCTGAACAAGTCCAGCGCGTACTCGCGCTCGGCTTGGTCCTTATCCCCGTGAATCGCCCCCGCGCTTCGCAAGTTGCNGGCTTAATCTTTCGGTCGATGAAATCGCACCGTCGTTTCGTGCCGCAGAACACGATCCCTCTCTTCCCGTCCACGAGCTCCGCCTTCAACACCTCGATCGCGCGCCGCAGCTTATCCTCCTCGTCGATGATCTCCACGGTCTGCGTGATCGACTTGTTCGCGGTCAGCCGCTCGCCGCCGTCGCCGATCCGAACGTGCGCCGCGTCGGCGCTCGTAAACTGTGCCGCAATCTTCTTCACGGCCTCCGGCCACGTCGCGGTAAACATCAGCGTCTGCCTCGCGTCCGGGCACAGCTTCAGGATCTTCTTGATCTGCGGCTCGAACCCCATGTCCAGCATCCTGTCCGCCTCGTCCAGCACGACGTACTTTGCATTCTTCGCGCTGACCGGCGCGCTAAACCCGGGGGGCGGCGCGAGGAAATCGATCAGTCGTCCGGGCGTCGCGACGATCATGTCCGCGCCGCCTCGCAGCGCCCTCAGCTGGTCCCCCTTGGACGCGCCGCCGTACAGCGTCACCGTCTTCGCGCCCGCGGCGGGGCAGAACTTCGCGCACTCGTCGCCGATCTGTATGGCGAGCTCGCGCGTCGGCGCGAGGACGATCGCGGCGGGGACCACCGCCGCCGGTCTGATGCGGGTCGTTTCGTATACACCGGTCAGTTGAAAGGGGACGCGATCAAATGTTGAAACCGATGGATGGGTGAAGAACGTTTGTAGACTCTAGTGAACGCGCCTGAACCGGCCGTCTACCATCTCCATGTCCGGCGCCGCGGACGCGCCGGTCTTCATTATCCGCGACAGCGCGGGGAGGAGGAACGCGCACGTCTTGCCGCTGCCCGTCTTGGCGACGGCGATGACGTCTCTCCCGGTCACCGCGATGGGCCACGCCTGCGCTTGAATGGGCGTCGGCGACGCGTAGCCTTGCTTCAGCAACGCGGCGATGAGCTTCTTCGGAAACGGCGCGCGCTGGAACGTCACGATCGGGTCCGGCGTCCCCGCGGCCACCTTGATCGCGTGCTCGGCTCGGAACGCCGCGATCGCGTCGGGGGACGGGCGGTCGCCGGCGTCCGCGGGCGACGCGTCGGCGTCGGCGTACGCGGACGACGACTTGCTCTTCTTTTGCTTTTTGGATTTCGATGTCGGCGCGGCCGTCGCGCCGCCGTCGCCGTCGTCCGCGGCGGCAGCCTTCTCGCGCTTGAGCTTCTTCGCCTTCTTCCTCGCCGCGGCGTCGCCCTCCGCGAGCGCGGTCTCGAGCGCGGCGTGCGCGGCGTCCTCCGCGGCGACCGCGTCCTTCTTCCGCTTCTTCTTCTTCGGCGTCGTCGTCGGCACGATGATGTCGGCGGAGGCGGCGCCGACGTTCTTCTCGCCGTTCAGCTCCGCCATGAACGCCTCCGCGCGCTTCGCGTTCTCCGCCGCCGCCGCGGCCTGCTTCGCCACCTTCCTCGCCCTCTTGATCTCGTTGCTGATGACCATCCTCCTCCTCCTGAGGCGGTCGCGCGTCGTGGCGTGCGTCGCGGGACGGCGCGCGCGGACGAGTGATGAAATCTCAGCCGCCAGCCAGAGTGCCGACAGGATTTCGCCGGGAAAAATTTCGCCGCAACATTTTCTCGGACGCGCCGACGTCGGGAAGAGTTCGCCGTCGTGGCTTTCCGCCGCCTTCTCACTTCCTCTCGCGCGCCGCTACGCCGCGTCTCGCACGACGATCATGGTGAAGAAACGAGGAGCGAACCAGCAAGCGAGAGGCAAACCGTTCCTCGAGTGGTGCGCGGAGAACGGGAAGCGCGGCGAGAGGCTCGCCAACGAGTTCCGCGAGGAGCTGCCGACGGAGCTGACGAACGGGTCGACGTACAAGGCGAAGTGGAAGTGTTTGAAGTGCAAGCACGTGTGGAGGGCGAAGGTGTGCAACCGCACGAGGAGCGACAAACCCACCGGGTGCCCGATGTGCGCGCATAATGCGCCGCCGAGCAAGACGAAGAACTTCCTCGCGTGGTGCGAGAAGAACGGCGAGCTCGGCAAGAAGCTGTCGCGCGAGTACGTCGATAAGGACAAGCCGCCGACGGCGGTGACGAAAGCGTCGAACTACAAGGCGAAGTGGAAGTGCAGCAACGTCGAGTGCAAGCACGTGTGGCGGGCGCAGGTGGGCGGTCGCACGAAGAGCGACAAACCCGCCGGGTGTCCGAAGTGCGCGAATCAAATGCCGCTGAGCAAGACGAACAACTTCCTCGCGTGGTGCGAGAAGAACGGCGAGCTCGGCAAGAAGCTGTCGCGCGAGTACGTCGACAAGGACAAGCCGCCGACGGAGCTGACGAAAGCGTCGCACTACAAGGCGCTGTGGAAGTGTGAGGAGTGCAAGCACGTGTGGCGGGCGACGGTGAACCACCGCACGAAGAGCGACAAACCCACCGGGTGTCCGGCGTGCTACACCACCAGAGCGCGACAGCCTGGAAAGCGCCAGCGCGTCGAGTGACGTGCCTACTTTTCCCTACGTACGATGAATACGATGAGAACGAACTACGCGACGTCGTCCTCGTCGTCATCCGACGCCGCGCCGATCCTCCACCTCCACCCCGGCGTCCCCGGAAGCACGCCGTCTAACCCTCCTCCTCCGCCTCCGCCGCCGTCCCCCCCTCCCTCCTCGTCGTCCGCCAACAAAATCCCCCCCGGCGCGGTCGCCGCGTCGACGTCGCGCGCGTCCTTCTCTCTCTTCCTCGACAGCTTCTCGAACCTCAGGCGGCTCTTCCGAGCGGCGATGGACGCCGCGCGCGCGATCTCGCTCGCGTCGCGCACGACGCCCTCCGCGGCGCGGACGCGTCGCTTCCACGCGTCGTGCGCGAGTTTCCGCTGCCTGACCGTCTCGGGGGAATCTTCTTCTTCGTTTTCGTCTTCGTCGTCGTCGATCGAGTCGCCGCCGCCGGGGTCCCGCGCGGGAGACCACCAGCTCTTCCTTCGCCGCGCGTCGCCGCCGGCGAACGACACCCCGGACCCGGACCGAGATAACGCTCTCCGCGCGGGCGACCCGCTCGGACCGTACGCCTCTAACTCCGCCTCGTCGGGGCTGAACCGCCCGCTCGCGGCGGCGGCGGCGGCGGCGGCGGCGGCGGACATCTTTCGTTCCTCGGCGTCGCACGCGTCCTTAAACGACGCCTTCGCCGCCTTCGCCCGTCCTCTCTTCGTCGACGTCGTCGCCGTCGTCGCCGCTTTCGCTTTCGACGACTTCTCGCCGCCGGCTCGAGCCCTACTGCGCGCGCCGCCGCCCGCGCCGTTCTTCCCGCCGGGCACGAACGGCGGCTTGCGCTCCGCCGCCGACAGCGTCTCCCTCGCCCTCGCCTCCAGCGCCGTCGCCGCGCGCGTCGCCCCCACCTTCACCCTCGCGAACGCCCTCTCCGCCCTCGCGCTCGCCGCCTTCTCCTTCTCCGCGACCGCGTCCTGGAACGCGCGCACCCGCGCGCGCTCTTCGGACGCCGCGTCGAGGAGATACGCGCGGCGATCCGCCGCGCGCGCGCGCCGCGCGCCCTCGAGCGCGAGGCGCAACTTTGCAACCTCGGACGACCGCGCCGCGTCGTCGTCGTCGCGCTTCTCCGCGCGGGACGAGCGTACCGCGTCGACCCAGCCGCGCCACGCCTTCGCGCGCGCCGCGCGCTCGAACACCGCGGCGACGCGCGCTCTGAGCGTCGCCTTAACCTTTGAACGGCGAACAGCGAGAAGCCACGCGTTGGCGACACACGACGCGACGCGCCTGTCGCGTCGCGTCCGCGCCGCCAGGCATCGCGCGCTCACGACGACGCGCCGCCGCCACGCGCGCATCGCGCGACGCGCGAGCGTCCGCGTCGTCCGCGCGTATATCGTCGTCGCCGCGCGTCGAAGGAGCTTCGCTTTCCTCGCGGCGCGCGCCCACGCGCGCGTCGTCGCGAGGCGTCGCGCGCGGCGCCTCGATTCGTACGCGTCGCTCGCCGCGCGTCGCCGCAAGGCGCGATGCCTCGCGACGCGGCGCCACGCGTCGAGCCATCGCCCCGAGCGCCGCGCCACGAACGCCCTCGCGGCGCGCACGAGCATCCGCCGACTCGCGGTCGTTCCCAGCGCGATTGCTTTCCAACGCGCCATCGCGACGGACGCGCGTCGCCTCAGATTTCGAAGCCGCGTCGCGCCCGCGAGGCGCGCTTGCCACGCCGCGATGCCGCCGACGACGTCGTCCACCGCCCGCCGCGCGGTCCGAAGCCGCCGCAGCGTCACCTCGCGCTCGTACGCGCAGCAGCACGTGAGAGTGTTCGCCGCGTGCGCGTCGCAGCCGCGATGCGCGCGGACGGTGCCCATCGGTGGCAGCGACGAGAGTTCTCCGTGGCGTTCGATGATGGCATCCATGCGCGCGATCTCCGGGCATCTCGGGAGCGACGACGACGCGTTCGCGTTCGCGTTCGCGTCGCGTCGCCCGAGCGGCGCGAGCGGCGCGGCGTCGCGCGGGCGCCGCGAGCCGCCGGGGAGGAGGCACGGGTCCACGCCCGAGTCGGACGCGAGGCGTCGGATTTCCCCCAGCGACCGCGCGCGATGTTGACGCGTCGACGTCGCCGCGGGGGAACCGCGCGCCGCCCTCCCCGCGGGCGGCGGGTCGTCCATCCCGCCCCGCGCCGCCCGCCCGCGCGCGCGTCCTCGATCGCCGCGCGCCGCTTCCGATGCCGCGCCCGACGCGCGCGGTGCTGTGATGAGAGTCGGGACGCCGCGGACGCGTCCAACGGTCGCGATAAAACTTTAACACCGAGCGCGAGCGCGCCGCGCCCGCGCTGCGAACGCTTTTCACGAATTCATCGATCTCCCGGCGCGACCGTCAGATCCCTCCACGCGCGCGCACGGGTTGATGCTCGCCGGGGCGTTCCGGTGCGCGTCGAGGAACGCGCGAAGGCACGCGCGCGCGAGCGCGTCCGCGGAGGCGTTCTCAGCGGAGGCGGCTCGCTTCTCCTCCTCTTCGTCGCCCCTCCTTCACCGCATCCCCGAGGAGGTGCCGTTCCGCCGCCGCCTCGTGCGCTGGTCCGCGGTCGGCGCGCGCTCCTTCGCGTCGTCCGTCGCGTCGTCGTCGTCGTCGTCGTCGTCGTCGCCGCCGCCGCCGACGCGGTCGATCGCGTACGTCCCTCGATACAAGCGCGACTCGAGAAGACCGAACGCGAACCCGAGACCGAGCGCGGGCGCGGGCGGCGGCGAGGGCGAGGGCGAGGGATCGACCCCCGCGCGGCTCACCGCGAGGGCGCGGCGGCGATCGGCGAAGGAGCGCGCGGCGGCGGTGGACGTCCCGAAGATCAGCAGAACCGCGCCGGACGTCGTCGACGACGACGGCATCGACGGAGGAGGCGAGATGGGGAAGAGGAGGGCGAAGAAGGCGCCGGGAGCCGGGTACGAGGTGTGCGCGCGCGACGGCCGCGTGTACGACGCGCGGGGAGGGGAGCTGGGAAGGAAGCAGGTGGGCGGGGACGCGTACGCGCAAGTGGTGGCGCTCGGCGTGGACGCGGGCGAGGACACGAGCCCGGGGGTGCTCATCTTTACCAACCGCCGACGGTGCGCCGCGCGAAGAACGCGCTCTGCCCCGCGACTAAACCCTCTGAACCCTCTGAACCCTAAACATCTGACCCTAAACAACGAACGCCTCGCCGCCCGCCGCGTCGCAGGTACGTCTTCAACGTCGGCGAGGGGTTTCAGCGGTTTTGCGTCGAACACGGCGTCGCGCTGCGGAAACTGGAACGCGTGTTTCTGACGCGCGCGAGCGCGAGGACGTCCGGGGGGCTGACCGGGATGCTGCTGACCGTCGCGGACGAGAGAGGGAACCCGGTCGCGACCGGGGCGCAGAGGAGCGAGGCGTGCGACATCCCAGAGCTGACCGTGCACGGGCCGCCGAGGGTGGGACGGCTGCTGGGTGCGTCTGCGATTTTTTTTTTTTTTTTTTTTCGATCGATCGGTCGATCGATCGACGCCGCCCTCTTCGCCCGCCGCTCCGTTCTGTTCTGTTCCGAGCGACGAACGACGCGCGCCGCGGCCGGTGAATGCCAATATACTGCGTTATCTTCCGCATGAGTAGGGGGTCACGGACGTTCCCTTAACACGGAGCGCCGCCCTGCGTCTGAGGACAACAAACACGAGGAGGCTCGCGGCGGGCGTCGTCGACGCAATTTTATTTTTTTTGGTTTTTTTTGGTTTTTCCCTCGCTCGCTCGGTCCTTCTCCGCCCGCCCGAAGCGTCCGTCGCCGATACCAGCGTCCGTCCGTCGCCGCCGCCGGTGAATTGCAATCATACTGCGTTATCTTTCCCACCCGCGGGGACTCCCGGCGGTCCCTTTACACGGACCGTCGCCCTGCATCTGAGGAAATCATACACACATGAGGCGCGAGCGAGCGACGGAGCGTTTTTTTTTTCTCTTCGCGCCCGCCAAACCCGAGCGTTTTTTTCTCATCCATCCCCGCCCCTCCCTCCCTCCCCCTCGTGCGCAGGCGCGTTCCACACCCTCGTCGGCACCAACCGAAACGTCAAAGTCAACTCGCGACCGTTCGAGCTCACCGCGCCCGGCGGCCCGACCGAGCGCCACCCCCACGCGCACAAGGACGAGCAGATGGAGGTGACCCCCGTGGTGATTTCGCTTCCGGCGACGACGGCGACCCGGGGGGGCGCGTCCGGGCCGTTCGGCGACGTCGCGTCCCTCGGCCGTCACGTCGCGAAGCGCCAGAAAACGATGGAGGAGGGAGGAGGAGACGTAGGAGGTTTAGACGATGCGGGTGATCCTGGTAGTAACGGTCATAACCAAGGCGTTACCTCCGCGCTCGTGCTCGACGAGACCGAGGCTGAGGCGGTGTGCTACGGGCTCCAGATGGCGCCGTCGGCGGGGAAGTTCGACAACGCGAAAGCGGAGGCGCTCGGGATACCCAAAGGGCCCTGGTGCTCGGACCTCGTCCACGGGTACTCGATCACGCTGGAGAACGGCACCGTGATCGAGCCGAGCATGGTCGTCGGAGCGCCGACGACGGGCGCGCGCATTTTCATCGCCGACGTGCCGACGACGCGTCACCTCGCGGAGATCACCAGGGAAGGGTCGCCGTCGTACAACGCGCTTCGAAAACTCGGACATGTGTCGGACAAGAAAGTGTCGGACGAAGATCTAGCGGTGTCGGAAGATACGGACGCCGCCTTTCCGATCGGCGACCTCGGGTGCGTGTTCCACCTCACCCCGTCGAGCGTCGCGAACACGCCGGAGTACGAGGCGTGGACGCGCGACTGCGAGGCGTTTATCAATCCCGCGAGAACGACGACGAAGACGACGACGACGAGAGACGGCGTCGAGACGACGACGACGACGACGACGACGACGCCGGTGCGGCACGTGTTCGTGAACGCGCTGACCCACGCGGACGCGCCGACGTTTCGCGCGTCGCACATCGTGAGCCACCGCGTGAGCGCAGTGGACGACAAGGTGCGTTCTCATCACACTGGTCCCCATACGACCGCGTCGGCGTGGTGAACGCCGATCCTTAAGGACTTTTCCCGGCGTCTCTCTCCGCCCATCACACCTCGCTTTCAATCCCGACACACCTCGGCGCCTTTCAGCTCCACCTGACGCCTTTCAACTCCACCCCGACAACAAGGTGTTCCCGCCGCGGAGCGCCAAGGCGGCGTGGACGCAGCGGATCGCGTGGGCGACGGACCGAGCGAAAGTCGCGGACGACAATTGGGTCAGAGCCGCCGCCGCCGCCGCCGCGAATAACGGGAGCGGCGACGGCGCGGGGACGACGACGTCGTCGTCGCCGCCGCCGCCGCCGACGCCGATCGTTCACCCCGGCGTGAACAACACGAAGTACGTCTTGATGCCGGTGGATAAACAACGCGTCGACGCGACGGACGCGCGCGCGCCGCCGGCGATGTCGGGGAGTTACATCAACTACGACCTGGCGCCGCACGCGTTGAAGAAGATCGTCGCGGACGCGGAGGCGACGCGGTCGGCCGCGGCGGCGAAGGCGGAGGCGGAGGCGGAGGCGTCGTCGGCGTTGGAACTGGAACTGGAGCCGGAAGCGAAACCGGCGGAGGCGAAACCGAAACCGCCCACGGGCGCGGAGCTGCCGACGCCGCGCGCTTTGCGAGGGCTCCGCGAGGGCGACGTCGAGCTGTCCTTCCTCGGCACCGGCAGCTCCGCGCCCGCCAAGTACCGCAACGTCAGCGGGATCTTCCTCGACGTCCCGAGCCGCGGGTGCATGTTTCTGGACGCGGGCGAGGGGACGTTCGGGCAGCTCAACCGGCTGTACGGCGCCGCCGGCGCCGACGCGCGATTGCGACGGCTCAAGATGATTTGGATCTCGCACGTGCACGCGGATCATCACGTCGGCGTGCCGACGCTGCTCGCGGAGCGACGCGCGCGCATGATCGCGTCCGGGATCGAGAACCCGCCGCCGCTCGTCGTCGTCGGCCCGCCGGCGCTTCGGAGGTATCTTCTCGCGTACGAGCAAGTCCAGCCGTTGTGTTATCATTTCGTCGCGTGCCACGAGGTCAGGGAAGACCGCTGGGCGGCGGCGGCGGCGGACGCAAGACGTTTCCCAAGTCTAGGGTTCTACGAGGAGCGGAGTTTGAATCTCGTGCGCGCGGCGTGCGAGGAGATGGAACTCGCGCGCGTCGTCTCCGCGCCCGTCGTGCACTGCGCGCAGTCGTACGCGGTGTCCGTGGAGGCGAAGCCGCGGGAAAAAGAATTAGTAGTAGAGAGCGAAAACGCCCCCGCCGAAAAGGCTGCCGACGTCGTCCCCGGGTGGAAACTCGTCTACAGCGGCGACACGCGTCCGTGCGAGTCGCTCACGCGCTTGGCGACGGACGCCACGGTCCTCGTCCACGAGGCGACCTTCGAGAACGACATGGACGAGGACGCGATAAAGAAGCGGCACAGCACCACTCGCGACGCGGTGCGAACCGGCGTGGAGGCGCGCGCGTATCGAACGATTCTGACGCACTTCTCGCAGCGGTATCCGAAGATCCCGGTGCTGGACGAGAGCGTGAGCGAGCGGACCGCGGTCGCGTTCGACATGATGCGCGTGGACTTCGCGCGCGATCTGCCGCGATTGCCGAGCCTCGTGCCCGCGGTGCAGGCGGTGTTCCTCGACCCGGAGGAGGTGTTCGGAGGCGGCGGCAATAATACCGCCGCCGCGAATAAGAAGAAGAAGTGGGGGCCGCCGCCGCGGGGGGGGTCGAAGTCTCCGCCGAGGCGATGACGCGCGCGAAGGAAGACTTTTGAAGGATCCTGGAAGCGATGCGCGCGTGTAGGGCGCGGAGACGAGACGAGACGAGACGAAGTGACGCGCGAATGCGTTGAGCGTAAAAATGTACTTCGTCACTTCCGTAGACTTTTTCGGCGGCCGTCCGCGTCCCTCCTCCGCTCCGACGTCGCGCGAATGAATCCGTCGACCGTCCGTCACACGAGGAACACGTTGGGCTTCTTCTTCACCGTGACGTCGCCGAGGTCGACCTTGTCCAGCTTCGCCGCGAGGACGAAATCGTTCGCGTGCAGGCCGTTCACCGCCGCGGTGTGCAGCTCGATCCTGACACCCGGCCCCTCCACGAAACTCGCGATCGTCTGCGCCTCCTCCTCAGCGACAGCCTCGAGACGCGTTACCACCTCCGCCGCCTTCGCCTTGTCCCCGCCGGTCGCGAACTCCCTCCTCAACACCTCGTGCGCATCCACGATCCGTATCTTCCAGTCCGCGACCTGCTTCTGGTACACGAGCTTCTGCGTCTCCTCGATCGGCGGCTCGCCCGCCTCCACGGCGACGCACGCGCGAAGGTGCAGCGCGGTGAACTCCTCAACCTTGCGTCGGGGTGGAGTTCAAAGGCGTCAGTTGAAGTTGAAAGGCGTCGAGGGCGGGGATTGAAAGCGAGGGACCCTGGGCGGAGAGAGACGCCGGGAATAGTCCTTAAGGATCGACGTTCACCACGCCATCGCGGTCGTATGGGAACCAGTGTGAGGAGAACACACCTTGCGCGGGATCTGCAGCATGTGCTCCGTGTCCGCCTCGCCTATGGACTTGGCGTTGAAGTTGGACTCGAGCTCCCCCGCGGTCGCGTCGCGCGCGCCGAAGTCGCCGCCGAGGCCGGCGAGCTCCTCCATCTCTCTGCGCGTGCCGCGCGTCGCGAGCGACGCGCCGCGGTTTTCGGCGGAGGAGGAGGATTTGAGGGCGGCGGCCGCGCGAAGAATGCGCGGCGGCGCGGTCGCGGTCGCGTTCGCGCCGCGCGCGTTGGACGCGGACGCCGCGCGCGCGAGGGGCGCGACGGCGGGCGTCGCGACGGTCGCGGTGAACATGACGGGTCGGGTCGCGAGGCCGGTGCGCGTGACGAGCGACGTCGCGCGGTGGGATGTCGCGCCGTCGGAGCTCAACCTGACGGCGACTTCTGGATAGGGAAATTGCTTTTTCCGTGACGTGAGGCGCTGGAGTCCTGTGAGCCTTTTTGTATGAGCAACAGTCACCCGCGTGCACGTAGCCCTACAACGTACTACCTCGCGTTCGTCTCCGTTCTGTTCGTGCGCACGAGAACACGACTCCCCACTGTCTCGGCGCGCGCGCTCGCTCTCCCCCCGCGACGACGATGCGGCCGCGCCGGCGCGCGGCATCGCGCCTCCTCCTCCTCCCCCCCCCCCTCCTCCTCCTCCTCGCGTCCGCGCGCGTCGCCGCCGTCGCCGCGGACGACCCGCTCGCGGCGTTCCGCCCGCCGCGCGGGCTCGAGTCGTACCGCCTTCCGTCGTCGCCGCGCGCGACCCTCGCGCCGCCGCCGCCGCGGCCGCCGCCGCCGCGGCCGGACGCGATGATCGAGACGACGACGATCGACCCACAAACAGACCCGGTCGTCGTCGCGGCGCGCGCGTCGCTCTTCGACGCCGTCGCCGCGGAGCTATCGCGCGACCTCGTCGTCGCGTCGCAGCAGGCGTCGCACACGTCGACAGACTACGACCCCTACGACCTCGACAGGTTCGACGCTATACACTGGTCCCCATACGACCGCGTTCGCGAGGTGAACGCCGTCCCTTAAGGACTTTTCCCGGCGCATCTCTACGCCCACCCCTCGGTTTCAATCCCCGCCCTAGATGCCTTTGAACTCCATCTGACGCCTTTCAACTCCACCCCTCGACAGGTTCGACGTCTCCGACGCGGACCTCGAGTCGTTCGACGTCCTCCATCAGACGCGGTTCCGACGAGAGGCGCTCGATCTCTTGATGGAAGACCTCGAGGAGGAGATCGAGAACCTGATACCACCGCGCGGCGGCGGAGGTGAGACTGCTCCCCGTACGACCCCGTTCGCGTGGCGCGCGCCGTTCCTTGAGGACTTTTCCCGTCGTCGCGTCGCTCTTCGCCCGCGCTTCCCTTTCAACGTACGTTTGACCGGTAAGACGTTCGACTGACCGATCGCTTCACCCACGCAGGCGGCGGCGGCGTGACCAACGTGTACGTGACGTACGCCGACGACGCCGTCTCCCCGAGGACCGCGTCGTCGTCGTTCGACCCTTACGTCCCGCAAGGCGTCGTCGGGCGGTTGATGCAGACGTTGACGTTCGGGTTCAGCGCCGCGTTCGCGGACAACCCCACGCTGATCGACGACTACCTCCGGTGCTCCGTCGCGACGCGCCCGTGCACGATCGAGGAGACGCTCCGTAAGGCGCGTTCGTATTCACGCCGGTCCCCGTGCGACCGCGTCGGCGCGGTGCACGCCGTTTCTTGAGGACTTTCTCTCCCGGCGGTCGTTTCTCTCCGCCCAGGGTCCCTCGCTTTCAATCCCGACACACACACCTCGACGCCTTTCAACTCCGCTTCTGACGCCTTTCAACTCCACCCCGACATCTTCGCTTCGTACTGTGGACCCTCGACCCTAAGTGCACGTACGAGCCGAAAGGGACGTGGTACCGAGAGCGACGCAGCCGCGTGAACGCGCCGCTGTCGTGGCCGTACTGCGAGTGGGATCTCGAAAAAGTCTATCAGCACTGCACAGAGTTGGAGCGGCAGTCGTCGACGTGCGACCCGGAGGTGGCGCGAGACAGGATGCGACGCGCGGCGTGGCTCGAGAGCGAGGAGGAGAGAAGGACGGCGTACGTGACACGTCAGCGTGCGGAGATGGAGTATGCGCGGGGCGCGAACCACGGGGCGTTCGGGTTATCCGTGGACGCGGAGTCGGCGCCGGCGGGAGGGCGCGGGCGGTGGACGTGACGTCGACGCGACGCGACGCGCGCGCGCGCGAGAGAGAGAGAGATTTTCTTTTGGCGTTGATAACGCGTCCGTATTCTTTTCATACATCTCGTCGACCGACGCGCTCGACGTGCTCGCGTCGTCGTCGCCGCCGCCGCTCATCGCTCGCTCACCGCTCGCTCAGTTCATCTCTCCGTCGAGGAGGTTGTTGATCCCGCTCGTCGCGTCCCCCGGCGTGACCCCGGACGAAAACGCCGGCGACAGGTCGATCGCGCTCGGGTTCCGCCTCCCACTCGAATCCGCGCGTCCGGCGACGCCGAGCGGCCTCATGTCGTCCCTCGCTGCTGCCGCCACCGCGTCCGCGTCGACGCTCATCCCCGCGAGCCTGCGTCGAGACGCGTTCGAGGGCTCCACCTGCCACATCGAGTCCTCCGCCGCGCTCGGACGCGCGTTGATGTCTACGTACGGTCGCAGCCACGCGCCTTGGTAAATCTGCTGCGGCCGCATGATTTTCAGGTCCGGATCCGTCAGCTGCTCGCGCCAGTGCGCGAGGTACCCCGCCGCGCGCGGGATCGCGAAGAGCACGGTGAAAAACTCGGGCGGGAACCCGAGGGCTCTGTACACCAAACCGCTGTAGAAGTCGACGTTCGGGTAGAGATTCCGATCGACAAAATACGGATCGGACCGCGCGGCTTTCTCGAGCTGAACGGCGACGTCGATGAGCGGGTCGCGTCCGACGAGAGAAAACACCGTCTCCGCGACGCCGCGAATGACGTTCGCGCGCGGGTCGAAGTTTTTGTACACCCTGTGTCCGAACCCGGACATCTTCTCCTTCTTGTTCTTCACGCCCTCGAGGAACGCGGGGATGGCGTCCGCGGTGCCGATGCGCGCGAGCATCTTGAGCACCGCCTGACGACGAGGGTCGAGGGTGTTTGCCCATAGGAAGCGGCGGCGGGGTGGAGTTGAAAGGCGTCAGCAGCGGAGTTGAAAGGCGTCGAGGGCGGAGATTGAAACCAGCGAGGGACCCTGGGCGGAGAGAAACGCCCGCCGGGCGAAAAAGTCATTTTTAAGAAACGGCGTTCACCGCGCCGACGCGATCGTACGGGGACCAGTGTGCATGCTGCGAACGCGCCTCGTTGGCGCCGCCGTGGAGCGGCCCGTACAACGCGCCCACCGCGCCCGCGACGGCGCTGTACACGTCCACGCCGCTGCTCGCGAGGTGCCTCGCCGCCGCGGTCGAGCAGTTCATCTCGTGCTCCGCGTGCAGTAGGAACATGACGTCCAACGCTTTGGCGAGCCGCGGGTTGGGGCGGTGATGCGGGTCGAGCCCGGCGTCGAGCATGTAGAGGAAATTTTCCGCGTAGGATAGCTTCTGGTTCGGAACCGCGGGCGTGCGCCCCGTGTTTCGGTGGTACGCGTGCGCGGCGAGCGTCGTCATCTTCCCTATGATCCGCACGATCTGCTTGTCCTGCGTGCCGTGCTCGGCGTACACGTTTCCGCCTCGCACCGCCGGGTTCTGCTCCGGGTGAAACGTCGACAACGCGTTCAAACCCGCCAACACGACGCCCATCGGGTGCGCGTCGTGCGGCAGCGCCTCCAGGGCTTGGACCACGGGCACGGGTAAAGCGCTGTGCCTCATGATCGTCTCCTCCCACTCCCGCAGCTGCGGCGCGGAGGGTAAGTCGCCGTACACGAGCGCGAACGCGGACTCGAGGTACGAAGACTTCTCCGCGAGCTCCTCGATCGGGTAGCCGCGGTAACGCAAGATCCCCGCGTCGCCGTCGATGTAGGAGATCTTGGACTTGCACGGCGCGGTGTTCATGTAACCCGGGTCGAAGAGGCGGAGGCCGGCGCCGTCGCCGCCGGCCGTGATCGCCCTGAACGCGGTCGCGGCGACGTAGCCGCCGGGTTGGATCGGAATCTGGTACTTTTTCTTCGTGCGGTTGTCGACGACGGTCAGCGAGCCCGGGCCGCCGCCCGGGCTGGGGCGCTGCGTCGACGCCGCCGCCGCGGACGCTGTCGTTTTGGCGGGAGATTCATCAGGGGAGGGGGACGAGACGCGAAGGTCAGCCGGGGGGGGGGCGACGGGAGGGCGCGGGGGCGGGAGGGAGGGAGGGAGGGAGGGAGGGATCTCGCGGGCGGCGAGACGCGACGCGTCGCGCCGCTTCGAGACGGGCGATTCCTCGCGTCGTCCGATCCGAGAGTCCTCCGCGGCCGTCGCGGCGAACGCGAGCGGCGGGGGAGAGACGCACCCGCGGCTGCTGTGGGGTTCCTCTGCACGTCGTCTTCATCGCGCGCGCCGCCGTCGAGGTGGCGGCGGATCGCGCCGACGCGCGCGGTCGCGCGGTCGTCGGACGCGCGCGTCGGCATGCCTCTCGATTCGTCCAAGAGGGTGGGCGCGGCGCCTTGATTTATTTAACAAGGGGGGGCCCGGGGCGGGGCGGAATCGCGCTCGGGCGTCGGCGCGCTTCGCGGTGCGAAGACGACGTCGAGGACGCTCCGCGAGGGACGGAGGGCGGGGAACGACGGGGGCGCGTCGATCTCGGCGCGGCGTCCGCTGTGGACGACGAGGGCTCGTCCGCGGTCGCGTCGTTTTATCGTTCGATCGAGTCAGCTTTACCCTTTCGGATCATCTAATGATGAGTCAGCTTTTACCCTTTTGCTTCTCCGACGCGGCGGCGGGGCATTCGACGCGACGCGCGGCCGCGGACGTCCGCCGACCCACCCCGTCGCGCTCCAGCGTCGAATCTCGCGCGCGTCCGCGCTCGCCGACGCGCGCGCGGCGTCGCGTCCGCCCCCGCGCGCGCCCGGGTCGCGCGCGGAATCCCCCCCGCGGCGAAGCGTCGCGGCATCTTGCTGACCTCGTGGGAGTTGGGACGTTCGCTCGTCGTCGCGTCGACTCCGCCCGCCGCGCGTCGTCCTCCCCGCGGCGGAGCGGAACGGAACGAAAGAAGAGCGGCGGAAGAGGGCGGCAGAAGATACCTCCTCTTCGATGTCGGGGCGCGAGCCGCGTCCGCCCGCGATGCACGCGCTGACGTCCTCCGCGGGAGGCGTCTCGTCGTCGCGCGGCGGGAGAGGCGCGGGTAACAACGTCGGCATTGACTCGTCAAAGCGCGCGCGGATCTTGCCGAGCGGGAGCGGCGGCGCCGCCGCGACGTGCCCGGCGCCGTCGCCGTCCTCCGCGCTCGCGCTCGCGAAGCGCGCGCTCGCGCTGCGCGTCGTCTTCGACGCCGCCTTCGCCAGCGCGCTGCGCGGCTACGACGCGCGGCTCGAGGCGACGCGTAGGGCGCTCGCGGTTCGAGGGTACCGGCGCGCGCAGCGATTCCTTCCGACGCGGAAAACCGCGGGCCGTGTCCTCTTCGCCGCGGCGGTCGCGACGTGGTACTACCGCGCGAACCGCGCGCGGTGGGCGCGGCTCGCGGCGCACCGCGAGAAGCGCGCGGCGCTGCAGCGCGAGCTCGACGCGGCGACGTGCTACGAGGAGTACAAGCGCGTCGCGTACGCGATGGAAGAGCTTCAGGTGCGTTCTATACAAAAGTTTTTCACCCACCGCCCGGTTTCAACGTTTGATCGCGTCCCCTTTCAACTGACCGGTGAGTTGTTTTTGTGGAATGCCCCTCAGATCGCGTTCGAGGAGACGGAGGAGGACGGCGGCGCGGATCGGGATCGGGATCAGACGCCGACGTCAGCGGACACTAGCGACCACCAATCGTCGATCGACACGTCGTCTTCATCCTCCTCCGGATTGGACAAGAAAGCGAAGGGCCAATCGAAGCGCGCCACGTCGGCCGCCGCCGCCGCCGCGAAGAAGAAGACGCGCGCCGATCGCGAGCCCGAGCCCAAGCCGAAGGCGTCGTCGTGGTGGATCGCCCATCACGCCAAGCCCATCTACGACAAAGAGCTCATTGAAGAGCAGCTCAGACTGCTGCGCGCGCAAAGAGCGTGCGGGGACGTCTTCGAGATGATGTTTAACCTGCGCGCGGACGTGCTGCGTAACCTGGGGAACATGTCCGAGATTGGACGGAAGCTCCACGAGCCGCTGTGGGGGGTGCCCAAGGCTGTGCGAGAGTACATCGACGAGACGCGCGCGCAGCTGCGGATGATCAGCAACGAGCACGACGTCCCGACGCAAGAGAAGCTCGCGTTTCTTCAAGAGACGCGTCACTGCTTCGGTCGGACCGCGCTGCTTCTCAGCGGCGGCGGCACGCTCGGGACGTTCCACGTCGGCGTCGCGCGCGCGCTCCACGCGCGCGGGTGCCTCCCGCGCGTCATCACCGGAAGCAGCGTCGGAAGCGTCGTCGGCGCCATCATGGCGAGCCGCACGCCGGACGAGCTCGAGGAGTTTTTCAGCGAGAAACACTTCGCGCATCATCTCCCGGACATGACCTTCTTCAGCGGCACGGACTTCTTCTCGTCGATCCAACACCTCATGAAAACGGGCGCGCTGCACGACATCGACTTCTTCCAGCGCTGCCTCCGCGCGCTGCTCGGCGACCTCACGTTCCAGGAGGCGTACGACCGAAGCGGCGGACGCATCTTGTGCGTGTGCGTGTGCGCGACGCGAGCCGGGGAGAAGCCGAGGTTGCTCAACTACCTCACCGCGCCGCACCTCGTCGTGTGGAGCGCGGTCGCCGCGTCGTGCGCGTTCCCGTCGCTGTTCCCGCCGCAGCCGCTGCTCGCGAAGAGCCGCACGGGGAGTTTTGTGCCGTGGCAGCCCGAAGGGAAGCTCGGCGCGAGGCTCTGGCGCGACGGCTCGCTCGAGAACGACCTCCCGATGCAAGGCCTCAGCGAGCTCTTCAACGTCAACTACTTCATCGTGTCGCAGACGAACCCGCACATCGTGCCCATCCTGCGCGTGAAGCGTTGGTTCGCGTCGCAAGGTCCATGGTGCGCGATGCTCGCGTCGTTCATCGAGAGCGAGTGGCGGCACCGCTGCACGCAAGTCTTGGAGCTCGTTCCGTGGATCGACGCGTTTGATTTCGCCAAGCTCTTCGGGCAGCAGTGGGAAGGGCACGTGACCGCCGTGATGGAGTACAGTTGGTCGCAGTTCAAGAAGATCGCGGCGAACCCGACGAGGGAGTTCCTGTTCGAGACCGCGACGATGGGCGAGCGGAGCATGTGGCCGAAGCTCGCGACGATCGAGAGCAACTGCGGGATCGAGATGCAGCTCGACGAGTGCGTCCGCGGGTTGCGGGAGAAGCTCAGCGCGCGGCAGCACGGGCACCTCTTCAAACAACGCGGCCGCGTGCCGTCTTGGAACACGATCAACTACGCGGGGAGAGATTCGTATCTCCGGATGCCGAGGGACGCGCACGGGAGCGCGGGCGCGGTCGGCGGCACGGGCGCGGGCGCGGGGGGGAACAGCGCGGGGGCGAACAGCGCGGGGCGCGAGTTTGGCGGTCACGCGCAGCCGTCCGCGGGGTCGGCGGCGCTCGCGCGAGACGGCGGCGGCGGCGGCGGCGACGGCGGAGGGAAATCCAATCTTCTCATCGACGCGGGAGAGAGAGAGAGCGGGATGTCTCGCACCAGCAGCGAAGGAGGATCGCTCCAGGAGTTCGCGCAGCTCATCGTGGACGAGGCCACGAGCGCGCGGGAGCGGGAGAGACGGAGCCACGAACGATGCGGCGGCGGCGGCGGCGGCGGCGGCGGCGGCGGCGGGATCGACGTGGACGACTTGGCGTCGACCGAACGGCTCGTGCGCGCCATCGCGGCGATGCCGGAGGGCGGCGTCAAGATCGGCGCCCCCGCGATGATGCTTCCGGAGACGTTCGGCGTCATGAGCGACCGCGGCGGTCAGCACGGCGGCGTGGGCGGGAGGACGTCGGGAAGCGAGCGCGAGGCGGACGGCGGCGGCGGCGGCGCGAGGGACCGTCCCCCCGGGTCGCCGAACCACGTGCACGCGTTCAGCGGCGCGAAGCACGGGTCATTCGTCCGCGGGCCGGGGACGCTGAAGTAATATTTTTTTTACGACGATTGGGCGGGGTTGGGTAAGAGTAAGAGACGACGACGTCTGAACGCGTATGTAGGTACTTCGTTGAAAACACAAACAAAACCAAACATTCTTTCTTCTCTTTCTGTTCTTCTCTCTTCTCCGTCTCGGTTCGCGCGCGGCGGCGGTCTACTGGTGATACAGCGCAGATACAGGTCGCCGCCCGCCGCGCGCGTCGCGCGGGTCGTAACGTACCCTAACGTCGTAACGCTTCAAATGAAAGCGTTAAGGCCGCTGTTAGTGAGCTCCTTCTGGACCTTGACGTCCGCGTCGAGCGCCACGCCGACGGGGCCGAGGTTCACATGCACGGGCCGCGGGTAGCACGGCTCGTCCACGCTGCCGCGTCGGGATCCGGGCTTGGAGTTGGGCGCGGAGGTGGCTTGTTTCGCGTGGATATCGTGCGAGAGCCCGATGCCGAAGTCGACGGTGTCGTCGCACTTGCGGTCGGACGGCGCGCCCGCGATGGAGAGACCTGGGGATGCGCGCGCGGTGGTGAGCGGACGGTACGTTGTCGGGAAAAGAGCGAAAGCGACGACGGTCGCGTTTCGTCGTCGTCGAAAACGAATTTATCCGTCGCGGATGCGCGCGAGCGCGCGCGCGAATCGCGACGACTCCATCGATGCGTCGCGCGAACGCGGCCGTTCGGGGCGCTTGAATATGATGTGCACGCGCGAGCTCGCAGCGTCGCTCGACGGCGCGGTATCTCGCCGGCGCGCGACGAACGAATCGAGAAAAGATATTTTTGCCGCGAGCAACAACGAGGGAGAAAAAAGCGAAAGCGCGTTTCGCGGAAGGATGGATTTCCGACGCACCGAGCTTGCCGACTTTCTTGCACTCGTCCGTGATGGTCATGCTGATCGCTTTGGGGTTAACGTGAAGCGGTATCGCGTCGGGGCGCGTGAGGGTGTAGAGCGTGCGTTCGATGATGAAGCGCGTGCGGAAGGAATTGAAGACGTAGAAACGCCTTCTCGCTTTTGATATGATGACGAGGCAACAAGATTGATGAGCTTGATATGGGTACGGTACGACGAGTCTTTCAAGCGTGGGTCAAACTTCATACGTCAACGGGTCAAACTTCATCGACGCTTGAAAGCCAGATCTCCCGGCCTGGCGCCTGCGGTCGGCGTCCGGTTTGAAGCTCTCAGCCGCTCATCAGCGTCGCGCGCCTTCATCGTCACCGCGCCTCGCACCGCTCGGAGGCAGCACAGCACGCGCGACCGCAGCGCACCCTCACACAACACCCTCGCACACCCTCGCACACCGCGCGATCATGTCCGCGTGGGGCGCTCCCACGGCCTGGGCCAACCAGGTGCGACGCGCGCCGCTCCGATCGCGCGCTCGCTCCCCGCCCCCCACCCCTCTCCCGCCGCTCCCGCGCTCCGCCGCGCCGCCGCCGGACGCGACGGCTCGGAAACGCGCGCGCGCGACGCCGTCGACGCGCCGTCGCGCCCGCGCGACGCGCGGGCGTGACGATCGACCGCGGTGGAAGACGCGCGCGCGATGCCGTTGACGTCTCCGCGCGTCGACGCGCGCGCGACGGCCGCGCGCGACGCCCTCGGCGGCGGCGGCGTTTCGCCACAGCGCGGGAGAGTCCGACGTTTTTCGCGCGGACGGAGGACGCCTCGCGTCCGATCGATCGCTCGATCGATCGACCGCACCCCGCGCGATCGCCCCGCCGGACGCGCCGCCCGCCTCCGCGCCGCCCCCGACGCCGACGCCATCCACCCCCCCCCCCTCACGCCGCCCTCCATCGCGACGACCGCAGGCGGAAGAGGAAGCGAAAGACGAGGCCCCTAAATCTTTCGCCGCGGAGCGACAGTTCCCGGGCCTGGGACAAGCCATCGGAAAGAAAGCGTCCACCGCCGCCGACGACGACGCGATGTTCCCCACGCTGGGCGCCGCCGCCAAGGCGCCGAAGAAGGCGAACAAGAAGGGCCAGAAGATGTCCCTCGCGGACCTCGACGCGTTCGCGTCCGCGTCGGGCGGCGGCGGCGGCGGCGGCGGCGGCGGCGGCGGCTACCGCCCCCCCGTCGCCGGCGCCTACGCGCAGCGCGACCTCGATAACATCGTCCTCCCGACCGGCCCGGCGCAGCGCGACGACGACGACGACATGATGCAAGGCGGCCCCGGGATGAGGTACGGCGACGAGAAGCTCGGCGGCGCGTTCAAGGACTACGGCGGCGACCGCGGCGGCGGCGATCGATACGGAGACCGCGACCGCGATCGATACGGCGACCGCGGACGCGACGATCGAAGAGGCGACCGTTACGGCGACCGAGACGACAGAAGAGGCGGGTTCGACCGCGACGATCCCCGCGACGACCGCGACCGCTCGCCGGAGGGCCCGTCGCGCGCGGACGCGGATTCCAACTGGGGACGATCGAAACGCGAGATGTCTCCCCCCCGGCGCGGCGACCGCGGCTACGACGACCGCGACCGCGACATGCGCGGTGGCGATCGGCGCGATGGTCGGTACCCGTCGCGATCGCCGTCCCCGGAACGCGACTGGGGCAACCTCCGCAACCGCGCGGGCCCGCCGCCGAGGGACGACCGCGACGGCCGCGGGCGCTCGCGCTCGCCGTCGCCCGAACGCGGTGAGACTGCCTCCCATACGACCCCGTTCGCGTGGTGAACGCCGTTCCTTAAGGACTTTTCCCGTCGTCACTCTTCACTCGCGCTTCCCTTTCAACGTTTGACCGGTAAGACGTTCGACTGACCGATCGCTTCACCCACGCAGACTGGAGCAACATTCGCAACCGACCGGGACCCCCTCCCTCGCTTCGGGACGACGCGCGGGGGTACGAGGACCGCGGCATGAGGCCCGGGCAGCGCGCGGACGAGGCCGGGGACCGGTGGGGGAAGCGTGCGGAGGGACCGCCGCCGATGGACGGATACGACCGCGACCGCGACGGCGGCCGCGACGGGCCCGGGCGCGACGACGGATCGCGCCGCCCGCGGCTGCAGCTCAAGGCGCGCTCGGCGGATGCCGACAAGACGGCGGCGGCGATTGCTGGCGGCGGGTCGTCGCTCTTCGGCGGCGCGCGCCCGCGCGAGCTCGCGCTCCAAGAGGCGGGGAGGGACTACCGCAAGGAGGATCTCGTGCGGTCCGCGGGAGCGGTGAAGCGACGCGAGACGAACGACGAGAAGCGAATGAAGAAGGAGATCACAGAGTTGAAGGAGAACCTCGAGGCGTTGCCCAAAGGCGGCGAGGAGTACGACGTCATCCACGGCGAGCTCTCGGAGAAGGAGACCGCGCTCGCGAAGCTGACGCTGGAGCTGGACGATAAGGTGCGGTTCGCGCAGAGGAACGCGCCCGAGGGCGGCGATCGCGGCGGTGCGAAGAGAGGCGACGAGAAGGGCGGCGAAGGCGACGGCGCGGAGGGCGACGGCGCCGCGGACGGTGCCCCGGGGGAGAAGAAGGACTCAAGGTCCCGCGACCGCGACCTCGACCGCGGCTGGGGCGAGGGCAAGGCGGAGCGGCAGCGCGGCGGCTGCGGCAAGAGCGGCGGGGGAGATAAGAAGCCGGGTGGGAGCGGCGGCGGGAGGGAGTCGACGCAGCGGGAACCTCGCGCGCCGCGAGCGATGATGAAGGCGGCCGAGCCGGAGGCTGTCAAGGTGGTGTCCGGCGGGTTCGCCGCGCTGGGGGTGGACGACGACGCGTAGAGTGGGAGCGGCGCGGTAGCGCGATGCCGCGCGTGTACATACGATACAGTACGACGACACACGTGAACGGAACGCAGACCAGACCTCGAGAGATGCCGACTAAAAAAACGCGTCGTCAGACTGGATTCTACTCGCGTCCGGCGAGTCGTCGTCGTCGCGTCGTCCGGGAACGTTCTCGTCCAAAAGAGCCCGCCAGGTGTCGCGAATCTCGCGCGCGGGGGCCCCCCACACACCCCGGCGCGCGCGACCGCACGCACGACGCCCGGTATCGCGCTCGTCTTCCGCGGCGCACGCAACGCGAGCGCGAAGGCGACGTCCGCGCGAGAGGACCAGGGCCCGACGCCGCGTCCGGCGCCGACGTTTTGCGCGATCCGAGGGGGGACGAACGCGCGCGCGACCGTCAACTCGAGTTTTCGCCGGGTCCCCTCGACGCGTCGAGGGGACGCGCGGCGGGCATGTTCAAGCGGATGTTCGGCGGCGGGAAGGGCGCGGGCGGCGGCGCGCCGCCGCCGCCGTCCTCCGCGGCGCCGAGGAACACGCCGCTGAGCGCGGTCGAGCAGCTGAAGGACGTGCGTCCCGCGCCCAGATCTCGCGCCCGAACGGCGCTCAGATGCCTCGAGTCATCTCGCGCGTCAATTCGTCGTCCCCGCGCCTCCCCCGCGCCTCCCCCGCGATACCCTACACTCGAAACCCGAAACCACGTCACATCAACTGACCGACAAAATAACCGCGACGACACCTCACGTCACCACTCTCTTCAGACGCTCGCGATGCTGGAGAAGCGCGAGGCGCTGCTGCACAAGAAGATGGCAGCCGAGCTACAAAAGGCGAAGGAGTTTAACCGGCAAAAGAAAAAGAGCGCGGCGTTGCAGTGCCTGAAGAAGAAGAAGCTCTACGAGACGCAGATTGAAAACTTGCAGAACCACCAGCTGAAGCTCGAGGAGCAGGTGATCACGCTGGAAGGGAGCAAGACGACCGCGGAGACGTTCAGCGCGCTCAAGAACGGCGCGGGGGCGATGAAACAGATCAGCAGGCGCGTTTAATCATCTCACCGCACCGGTCCCCATACGACCGCGTCGGCGCGGTGAACGCCGATCCTTAAGGACTTTTCCCGGCGCATCTCTCCGCCCATCCCTCGGTTTCAAAGCCCGATCGCGATGCCTTTCAACTCCGCTTCTGACGCCTTTCAACTCCGACCCTCAGAGAGACCAACATCGACAACATCGACAAGGTCATGGATGACATCAACGAGCAGTCGGAGAAGATGCGCCAGGTCCAGGAGGCGCTCGGGCAGCCGGTCGGGTACAGCGCGGATCTGGACGAGGACGAGCTCGACGCGGAGCTCGCGGAGTTGGAGGCGGAGGATCTCCTCGAGGAGGAGCTCGCGCCGCCGGCGACGGCGCCGGCGACGGCGGCGGCGGCGGCGCCGCGAAAGGTTGTCGCGCCCGCCGCGCCCGCGGCGCGGCCGGCGCCGGCGGTCGCCGCGGCGATGCCGGCGATGCCGTCCGTCCCGGGGAAGAGCTCCGAGGACGAGGAGCTGGAGGCGTTGCAGCGGGAGATGGAGCTGTTATCGTAGGCGCGCGTTTTGGTTTTGGGTTTTGGGTTTTGATCGTCGGTCGAGAACGAGAACGAGTCTTGTCGCGTTCGTTGAATGACGCAAACGCGTCGTCGACTACACGAGTCGTCATCATCGCGTCGCGTCCGCCCCCCTCCTCCCATCCATCCCGTCCCAACCCCCGTTTGAATCAAATCAGCACGCGCCCCGCGCCCGATCGCAGCAAACTCCCACCGCGCCTCGCCTTCATCGCCGCCTCTCTCTCCGCGGCAGCCCTGCGCTTCGACACGAACGTCGGCGACTGCGGAAACGTCAGCGCCCGCTCCTCCGTCGGTCCCACGCCGACGCCCGCGAGCTCGCCGTAATCCGGCATCGGCCGCGCGACGAAGACCGTGCTCTTTCGAAACTCCGCGCGGAGCCGCGCCTCCTCCTCCGCCTCCGCCGCCTTTTTCGCCTCTCTCTCGCGCTCCTCCTCCGCGTGCTTCCGCGCCATCTTCTCGTCGAACGCCGCTCGCGACTTGGCTCGCGTCTCCGCGTTGCGCGCGACGTTTTCCATCGGCGTCGTCAACGGCGTCGCCGACGCCTCGAGCTCGAACATCGGGTTGAAGTGCGTCGTGGGAATCGCCCTCGCGTGGAACTCCGTCTTCGCCTTCGCCGCGGCGTCCTCGTCCGCGCGGCGCGCGCTCTCGCGTCGCTTCTCGTACTCGTGAAGCGCCTCGCCGCGGAGGTTGAAGGGCTGAAACGTCGTGAGCGGCTTCTGCGCTTCAAACGCGCGCGTCGACGGCCGCGGCGCCTTGAGCGTCGACGGCGGCGCGGGCGTCGCCTCGAAGCGTCGGCGCTCCGCGGCTCTCGCTTCCTCCTCCGCGACCGTGCGCTCCAGGACGCGCTCCGCGTACGCGCCGCGTTTCTCCGTGCACAGATCGAACGGCTCAAAGGCGGTGAGCTCCCCGGTCCAGCGCTTGTTGGTCTTTCGCGAGGACGGCTCCGCGGACGGCGCCGCCTGCGCCTCGCACGCGAGCTGATTCACCGCGCCCCATCGAACCGCGCGTCGCGACGTCGTCAAGTTCGGCGACTCCGGGACCGTCGCCGGCGCGCACGCGTTCCACCCGCCGTTCTCCTCCTCGCACGCCTTGCGTCGCTTCGTGTCGCGCGTTTTCATCTCAGCCTCCTCCGCCTCCTTCTCGGCGCCGCGCGTCCGACCCAGCGTCTTCGCCATCGGTCCTCTCGCGCGGTCCGCGTCCGCGCGCTCTTTCGCCGCGAGCTTCGCCGCCGCCGCCGCCGCGGTCTTCGCGGCGGCGTCGCCCGCGCCGAGAAGCACGGAACGCTTCAGCGGACGCGCTTTGAATTTTTTACGCGCGGCGATTTGCTCGAGCTCGAGCTCCTCCGAGGACTTTTGCGGCGGGCCGCGCGCGCGAATCGCGCGCGTGATGGCGGGGGACACCGGCCGCGTCAGCGGCCTCTCTTTCGCCTGACCTCGCGACGTCGTCGCCGCGCCCGCGCCCGCGCCGCCGCGCGCTTCGTCCACCCCGCGAAGGGATTTCGTCGTGAACCCGTGGCACCTCTCCGCGATGGACTTGTACGGGCTCGCTTCTTCCCCCGTACCTTGCGTCCTCGTCGTCATCGCGTGCGTTCGCGACGACAACGCCGGCGCGACCGGTCGCGTCAGCGGCTTCGGCCGCACGCGCCCGCCGCCTCTGCCGCTCGCTCGCGCCGCGCGCTTCGCCGCGAGCGCCATCGCGCGCTTCTCCGCGGCGCCCTCCGCCTGCGCTTTTTCAAACGCGAGCTCCTCGGTGGTTTTCCCCACGCGCGCGCGCTTGTTCGGTTTCGAAATCGCGGGAGACTTGGGCACCGTGATCGGCTTGACGCGCGGTCCCGGCCCGGCGGTTCGCGCGGACGCGGACGACCGTGCGACGACAGATTTCTTGGGGACGCACGCGGGCGGTGGCGCCTCCGCGATTTCGCGCGGGCGTTTACGCGCCGGCTCGGGCCCTTCTTCTTCTTCTTCTTCCGGCGAGGTCTCCTCTGCAGTCTCCATCGTCGCCTCCATCATCGGCTGCGGGGAGTGTTCCGGCTCCGGCTCCGCCGCGCCCGGCACGCGCGACGGATCCACGAGAACCCTGACGGCGCCGCCGCCGGTGAGGCCTTTCCGTCGCGGGCGCGGCGCGAGGACGGGGAGTGGCGGCTCGACGAGCGGCCCCGCCTCCTCCTCCGTCGTCGTCGTCGTCGAGGTCGAGGTCTTCGTCGTGGAGGACGACGCGAGGCGGCTCGGCGTCTTCGTCGCCGCGTCGCCGCGCACCGGTCCGAGCGCGACGCCCCCGCCGCCGCCGGCGGCGGCCATCGCCGCGAGCCGCGGCGACGCGCGCGGGGTCTTCGACGACGACGTCGACACCGCGGGCGCGATGGTCATCGGCGTTATCGACGACTTTGTCGCGCTCGTCGTCGTCGTCGTCGTCGGCGTCGTCGAAGCCGCGGTCGCGGCGGCGCGCGGCGTCTTCGCCGTCGCCGCGATCGCCGCCGCGGCTTTGGCCGCGGCGGCTCTTCGCGGAGAGGATCTCGTCCCGACCGGCGTCGTCGTCTTCGTCGTCGTCGTCGTCGCCTCCACCGGCGGCGTCAGCATGATCACGACCTTCTTCTTCTTCGCGGTAGACTTCTTCTTCGTCGACGTCGCGGTCTCGGGCGTCGGCGCCTTCGCCTCCGGCTCCGGCGCGTCGACGTCCATCATGTCGACGTCCTCCGTCCCCGCGCCCGCGCCCGTCTCCTCCTCCTCCTCCGGGGAGGTCGTCGTCGCCGGCGTCTTCGCGCGGCGGCCGTACGTCACCGGCGTCTTCCTCCCGCTCCCGCTCGCGGCGCGCGGGGTCCTCGTCCGCCGCCGCGCGGTTTCTGCCGCCGCCCACGTCGCCTCGGGATCCTCCGCGGGCGTCGTCGTCGTCGTCGTCGCTTTCTTCGCCGCGCTCCTCGTCGTCGCCGGCGTCTTCCCCGCGACGACGGCGGCGCCGCTCGCGCCGTTCGACGGCGTCAGCGCGCGGCGGTCCGGGGTCTTCTTCCCCCCCGCGCTCTTCAGGATGCTCTTCGGAGGCGCGCGGCGCGCAGACGACGCCGGGGTCTTCGCTCGCGCGTCGGCGTCGGCGGCGGCGGCGGCGGCGGTCGCCACGTCGTTTTCCTTGTCGTCCTCAGCGGCTCGCGACGCCGCGGGCGCGGGCGCGGGCGTCTTCGCGACGACGCGCGCGGGCGTGGATAAGCCTTTCGTGTGCGCGGTCTCGAACCACGCGTCCGGGTTCGCGTCCGTCGCGTCCCCGGCTTCGAAGTCGTAGTAGTGCGGAGCGCAAAACTCCCACCTGTTTCGTCGTCGTCGTCGCGAGGGTGGGAAAGATTTGATTGAGATCCGGGGACGGGCGCGGACGCGGCGAGAGAGGGCGCTCGAGGGGCGACGACGGCGGCGGGCGGCGGGGTGCGAGCCGCGGCGAGGGATGCGAAGGTCGACGCGGATGATCCACCGCGTTACGAGCGATCGCGGACGCGCGAGCGCGAGCGCGAGAGGGGCGCCGCGCGCGCGTCCGCGACGCCGACGACCGCGAGGACGGCATTCGTGGCACGAGCCTCCCCGGACGCGACGACGCGCGCGTCGCGCGCGGGAGCCGCCGCCGTCGATCGATTTCGGGACGGGGACGCGCGAGGAACGTACGCTGCTTCCTTCTGGAACGACATCGGCGCGGACATGACGCCCGCCGCGCTCCCCGGACGCGATCCCCGCGTCGCGTCCGCGCGCAACGACTTTTTACTAACGGACGCGACAACGACTACCCGTCCCGTCGCGTTCGAGAGCGCGAACTCGCGCGCGTCGAGGCCGCGAGACGAACGCGCGAATCACCTCACGCGCGACGTGCGATCCTCCCTCACGAGCGTCGCGACGCGTCCGTGCCGCGTGTCGCTCGCGTCGCGCGGTCGCTACTGCCGCCTCGGCGCTCCCGCGGCGCGCGGGCGACGACGCGAGATTTCAGTCACGGCAGCTGTCGCGCCGCGGGGGAACGTTCGTTTGAACGGCGATGAATTTTGCACTACTGGTGACTTTTTCAGTCGCCGCGCCGCGGCGGCGCGACGGATGACGATTCGAATCTACGACGAGAGCGCGAGAGAGAAGAGCGAGGCGTGCGTCATTGTTCGTATTATGCGTGCGTAGGGGTCGGCGCGTCGAGGCGCGTGCCCCGCCGCGCCGACGCCCTGCTGTGTTCGATCACAAACGAGATCGTTCGTCGTCTCCTAAAAAAATCAATCGCAAAAACAGTCTCATCACGTGGTAAAAAGCCCCCCTCCTCGCGTCGGAAGCGAAGCGCGTCGCGTCGCGTCGCAAAAGACTGACGACGGATTAATCCACCTCCTCGATCTTCGGACCCGGCGCCGCGCCGCCGCCCTCGGCGCCCTCGGCGCCGGCGCCGAAGTCCGGCATGCCGCCCGCGCCCGGGGGCGCGCCGCCGCCAGCCTGGTACATCTTCGAGATGATCGGGTTGCACAAACCCTCGAGCTCCTTCATCTTGTCCTCGAACTCGTCCACCTCCGCGGTCTGGTTCCCGTCCAACCACGCGATCGTCTCCTCCACCGCGGTCATGATCTTCGTCTTGTCGTCCGGATCGATCTTGCCGCCGACGTTTTCGTCGTTCATCGTGTTCTTCATGTTGTACGCGTAGTTTTCCAAGCCGTTCTTCGCCTCGATCTTCTTCTTGTGCTCCTCGTCCTCAGCCTTGTACTTCTCCGCTTCCTGGACCATGCGCTCGATCTCCTCCTTGCTGAGGCGACCCTTATCGTTCGTGATCGTGATCTTGTTCTTCTGGCCCGTGGACTTGTCCTCCGCGGAGACGTTGAGGATGCCGTTGGCGTCAATGTCGAAGCAGACGTTGATCTGCGGCACGCCGCGCGGCGCCGGGGGGATCCCCTGCAGCTCAAACTTCCCGAGGAGGTTGTTATCCTTCGTCCTCGAGCGCTCGCCCTCGAACACCTGGATGAGCACGCCCGGCTGGTTGTCGGAGTACGTGGAGAACACCTGCTCCTTCTTGGTGGGGATGGTGGTGTTGCGCGGGATGAGCACCGTCATGACGCCGCCGACAGTCTCGAGGCCCATGGATAGCGGGGAGACGTCGAGGAGGAGGAGGTCCTGGACCTTCTCGTTGCCCTCGCCGCTGAGGATCGCGGCCTGGACCGCGGCGCCGTACGCCACCGCCTCGTCCGGGTTGATGGACTTGCACAGCTCCTTGCCGTTGAAGAAATCGCTGAGGAGCGACTGCACCTTGGGGATGCGCGTGGAGCCGCCGACGAGCACGATCTCGTGCACGGAGGACTTGTCCATCTTGGAGTCGCGGAGGCACTTCTCCACGGGCTCCATGCACTTGCGGAAGAGGTCCATGTTGAGCTCCTCGAACCTCGCGCGCGTGATGGAGGTGTAAAAGTCGATGCCCTCGAACATCGAGTCGATCTCGATGGACGTCTGCGCGGTGGAGGACAACGTGCGCTTCGCGCGCTCGCACGCGGTGCGAAGGCGGCGGAGCGCGCGCGCGTTGCCGGTGAGGTCCTTCTTGTGCTTGCGCTTGAACTCCTGCACGAAGTGGTTCATCATGCGCTGGTCGAAGTCCTCGCCGCCGAGGTGCGTGTCGCCCGCCGTCGCCTTGACCTCGAAGATGCCCTCCTCGATGGTGAGGAGCGAGACGTCAAAGGTGCCGCCGCCGAGGTCAAAGATGAGGACGTTCCTCTCCGCGCCGCCGTTGTCGTTCTTCTTGTCGAGGCCGTAAGCGATCGCGGCCGCGGTGGGCTCGTTGATGATGCGCATGCAGTTGATGCCCGCGATGACGGCGGCGTCTTTGGTCGCCTGACGTTGGGAGTCGTTGAAGTAGGCGGGGACCGTGACCACCGCGTTCTTGATCTCCTTGCCGAGGTACGCCTCCGCGATCTCCTTCATCTTGGTGAGGATCATCGACGAGATCTCCTCCGCGGAGAACGTCTTCGTCTCGCCGTGGAACTCAACCTGGACCATGGGCTTCTCCGCCTCGCCCGCGACGAGCGCGAAGGAGAAATCTTTGGCATCCGCTTGCACCTGCGGGTCTGAAAACTTGCGGCCGATGAGGCGCTTCGCGTCGAAGACGGTGTTCTTCGGGTTTTGCGCCGTCTGCGGCGATGGTTATGGAGGGGGAGGAGGATGAAGGCGGGGCGGGGGAGGGCGTCAGCGTCGGGTTCGATGGGGAAGGCGGAGGCGATCGATCGGTCGCTCGAAGAGAGAGGATGGAGAGAAAAAGAAGACGCGCGGTCGCGAAGCAAACGCGAGACGACGAAAAGACGTCATCGTTCGGTGAGTGCGGGGGCGAGACGCGCCTGGTTCTTCGCGGCGTCGCCGATGAGGCGCTCGCTGTCCGTGAACGCGACATAGGACGGCGTCGTCCTGTTGCCCTGGTCGTTCGCGATGATCTCGACGCTGGAGGGAGAGGGAGGGAGGGAGGGAGGCGAGCGGGTCAGTCGTCGGGCCGCGTCGGCGGGAGAAGAACGAAGAAGATGATGTCGCGCGTCGCGTCGCGGACGGAACGCGCGCGATACGCCGCGGCCGCGCGTTTCCGACGCGACCGCGCGCGGAGGATCGACTCAAAGGCGACGATGGAAACGGAATCGGGGATCCGCCGCGGTCGAGTCGCGCCGCGCGCGCGCGATCGCGCGCGCGATCGCGCGCGCGTCGCGCGTGATTCTTGGCGGCGGGATCCGCGCGATCTCGGCGTTTCGGCGGAAAAATCCCGAGCGCGCGCGCGACGGCCGGAGGACGCACCGGTCGTGCTGCCACACGCCGACGCAGGAGTACGTCGTTCCGAGGTCGATCCCGATGGCGGGTCCTTCAACCTTAGCGCTCATGTTGAGTAGCTTGTCGTGCGTTTCTTGTGCGCTGCGCGCTCGAATGTGACGCCCGCGGTGCGGCCGCGCCGCTGACTTGTTTCTTTCGCTGGAGAGCGGGAAAAAACGCCGGTCGAGCTCCCTCTAGGTTTTCGTATGCGCAATTGGTTCGGGGGAGTAGTTTTCGGCGTACTACGTCCCCGAAATTCGAGGACAGAAACGCCTCTCGCGTTTTCGTTCTTCAGTCGTCTTTTTCCTTCTTTTCGGAAGAAGCCTTCGACGCCCTGCGATCGCACGTGCAAACAGTTAGAGTACGTGTACGAGTAGTTTCCCGCGCGTACGAAGCGGGGTTCTTTTTCCCCACCCTGTCGAAAAACCGGTCGGTTCCCGCACAGGTTAAAAGCCGCGGCCCAAGACCGAAGTTTTCGAGGTCGGCTCGGTCGGCTCGCGCGGTCAGGTCGCTCTTCGACGAAAAAGCAACTCGGCGCGGCGTCAGAGTCATCACTCAACCATCCATCCGTCCGTCGCCCCTGCCTCCGCGGGGGCCTCCCACCCATGAAGCTCAAACACCTCGAGTCGCTTCTTCAGGACATCGAGCCGTTCCGCGACCCCAACGTGCACCTGGAGCAGTACCCCACGGGCGCGCATCTCGCCGCGTGCGTCCTCCACGCCGCGGCCGAGCGCGACGACGTCGACGGCCGCGTCGTCGTCGACCTGGGCGTCGGCGGCGGCGTCCTCGGCATCGCGGCGTCGATGATGGGCGCGAAGCGCGTCGTCGGCGTGGACGTGGACCCCGCCGCGATCGAGCTCGCGCGCGAGAACTGCGACGCGTTCGACCCGCCGATCGAGATCGAGCTCAGGTTGGGGAAGGTCCCGCGCGACGTCGACGCGTGGAGCGCGCGCGGACGGCGCGAGGAGGAGGAGGAGGAGGAGGAGGAGGATCTGGAGACCGCGACGCCGTCGTCGTCGGACGCGTCCGATCCGAACCGCGCGCTGCGCGCGGACACGGTCGTGATGAACCCACCGTTCGGGACGCGACGCAAGGGCGCGGACATGGGGTTCCTGCGCGCCGCGCTCGGCGTGACGCGGCGGGGCGGCGCGGTGTACAGCTTGCACAAGTCGTCCACGCGCGCGCACGTGGAGAGACACGCGCTCGTCGTCTTGCGCGCAAAGTCCGCGGAGGTGCTCGCGGAGCTGCGGTACGAGCTCCCGAGGGTGTATTCGCATCACAGGAGAGACGCGGTGGACATCGAGGTGGACCTGTGGCGGTTCGAGCCGCCGGAGGACGGCGTCGTGGGGGGGGGGGCGTGGCGCGACTCGGAGGACGAAGAAGACGACGCGTCGTCCGACGACGACGACGACGACGGCGGCGACGACGATGACGACGATATCGATCCGGCGGGAAGGACGCCCGCGGGAAGAAAAGACGCGCCAATCGAGCTGCGTTACCAGGATAAGGTGTCCTTCGGCGCGAGGGAGTCGGACGTGATGGCGCGGACGCGACGGGAGGACGGGCGGCGGCGCAGCGGCGGCAAGGGCGCGCGCGACGCCGATAAATTTAACACCGGGCGCGGGCGCGGCGGGCGCGGGCGCGGCGGGCGCGGGCGATGACGCGACCCCTCAGTTGTCGTCTCTTCGCAGTGCCGAACAATGTTAGTTGTAGTATTTCGGCAGTATTATAGGGTATTGTTGTAAAAGCCGCGTCGGCTTTGCCGTCGCGGCGGCGGCGCGCGGTGACGCGTAAAAAAACGCGACGTCGCGCGCGCGCGAAAAAATCTCCTTCGTCTTACTCGTAGACGCCCTCCTCCGGTCCAGTCTCCTCTTCCTCGCACCAGGCCGCTCGCTCACGCCGCCTGGATGCGGATGCGATCCATCTGCTTCTCGCTCGGAAGCTTCACCTTGTCCGCGAGTCCCAAAAACTTCAAGACGCAGACGCACCACCACGTCATGTCGATTTGCCACCACTCCAACCCGTGCCTCGCGCTGAACTCAAACGCGTGATGGTTGTTGTGCCACCCCTCCCCGAACGCTAACACGCCGATCCACCAGTTGTTCCGTGACAGATCCCCGGTGTTGAACGTCTGCGAACCCCACACGTGCGCGACGCTATTCACCGCCCACGTGATGTGATACACCCAACACGTCCTCACGCAGAAACCCCACACCAGCCACGGCAACCCGCCGATCGCGTAAAACGCGAGCGCCCACGCGAGGACGTGCCACATGTACGTCTTCTCCATGAACTGATAAAACGGCTGCTCCGCGAGCTCCTTCGCGTTGCTGCGATCGCCGACGCGCTTCAACGTCGCCTCGTTGTCCAGCAGCCACCCGCAGTGCGACCACCAAAACCCTTCGTACGGCGTGTGCGGGTCCTTCGGCGTGTCGCAGTGCTGGTGGTGGTGGCGGTGCGACGACGCCCACTCGAGCGGGTCGCCCTGGACCGCCATCGCGCCGCAGTACGCGAGCGCGTACTCCAGCCACTTGGGCGTCGTGAACGACTTGTGCGACAGCTGGCGGTGGTACGACAGCGTGATGCCTAAGCATCCGGTGATGAAGTACATCACGAGGAAGCAGTTGAACGCGCTCCAGGTGAACGTGAACGGCGCGAGGAGGCAGCCGGCGTGCATGGCGCCGATGAAGGACGCGTACGTGATGTCCGTGGGCATCCACTTGCGAAGGAACGCCTCGCGCTTCGGGGAGTAGAGGACGTCCGACCAGAGGACTTTTTTCACGGGTTTGATGCCTTCCCACGTGCCCTTGGCCGCGGCGGCGGCGGCGGAGTTGACGGACGCCCAGAGCTCGGACGCGTGCGCTTGCCCGTCGTCGACGATGCGTCGCCACACGCCGGCGGTGGATTGCTCCGGCTCCGGCGCGGTGATCGCCGCGCGCGTCGTCGGTGTGACGCGCCGACGCGTGACGTCACACGAGAGTCGCATCAGCGCGCCGCGGTCGCCGCCGAGCGACGGGCGCGCCGATACGCGCGCGCCTGTGCGATGGAGACGACGGACGGGTCGGGGGAGACGCGAAACGCGTGAGTTCGCGGCCGCGGGACGAGCGCGTCGATGGGAAGCGCTCCTCGGTCGCGCGTCGGGAAGCGATAAGAAGAGAATATAAAGACGATGCGGGCGCGAGCGAACGCCGTGGAGCGCCGTCGACGCGGACGCGCGCGCGGACGCGCGCGCGAGGACAGCGCGCGCGTCGCGCCGCGACGACGACGCGCGTCGGGCGACGAACGCGCGCGCGCGATCGGTTCGCGCGGGGTGCGGCGTCGGACGGCGCGCGCGTCGCGCGTCGTCCGAGCGCCGGCGACGGCGGGTTTTCGAGGGCGAGGCGCACCTCCGAGCTTCGCGCTCGTCGTCGTCGTCGTCATCTTCATCCGTCCCCTCCGCGCCGGAGACGGCGCGCCCGCGCGCGCGTGGAGCGCGATGCCGCCGGCGAGCGCCATCGCGGCCATCTTAGATACGTACGCGAGACGAGCGAACGCGCGAGGTGCGACGCAGAAGCTCGCGCGCGCGACGAAGTGCCCAGATGCGGTCGCGCCGTCGCGGCGTGTTGGCAGCACGGCTGCCGAGGAGAAAAGCGACGGGAGAGAGCGGACGGACAGCGAGCCACGATTAACTGCAGACGAGCGGCCGGTGATTGGCCGAGACGAGAGATTTCAAATCCGCACAGGCAAAGACTCAGAGCGTGGCGCACGTCGTACGTACTACGCTTTTCGGACGCGGAATTTCGGCACCGAAGGAGCAAAAAATTTCTGCGCGTCGTCGGTCCGCGGCGCGCGGGGACCCCCCCGCGGCGCCGAGATGGCGGAGTGGACCGCGTCCGTCGCGGCGTTGTCCATCTCGCTGTTCATCATCGCCGGGTTCTTAGAGGTCGGCGGCGGGTGGCTCGTGTGGCAGGCCGTGCGAGAGGTGCGTCCGCGTTTCGCTTCTCATCACGGAATCAATCAGTCGTTCTCATCAAATCGCTCGCGCCCTCGCAGGGGAAACCGTGGTACTGGGCCGCGGTGGGGTGCTGGATGCTCGTCGTGTACGGGTTCATCCCGACGCTGCAGCCGATAGACGACTTCGGGCGGCTGTACGCGGTCTACGGAGGGTTCTTCATCGTCCTCAGCTACGTGTGGGGTGCGCGCGCGTCGACCTTCTTTCTGTCGTCATCTCCGACGGCTTCGCTTTCTCTCTCCGCTCGCGTTCGCGAGTTCGCGCTCGGGTCCTGACCGTCCGTCTCGTCGCTCAGGGTACGCGCTGGACGGGTTCAAGCCGGACGTTGGGGACTACGTCGGCGGGAGCATCGCGCTCGCGGGGGTGATGCTCGCGCTGTTGTGGCCGCGAGACGGCGGCGGGCTCGAGCCGGACGCGGACAGCAACTTCGTCTGAATGAGGTGCGTTCTATACACTGGTTCCCATACGACCGCATTCGCGTGGTGAACGCCGTTTCTTAAGGACTTTTGCCGGCGTCTCTCTGCGCCCACCCCACGGTTTCAATCCCCGTCCTCGACGCCTTTCAACGCCAACTGACGCCTTTCAACTCCACCCCGACGTTCGCTTGTATAGAACGGCCCTGAATGATTTGATTAGCTCTGCTTTTAACAAACACCGCGTAGCTTCTTCTCGTCGTCGTTCCGTTCGTTCGTCGCGTCCGTTCGCGTCGCTGGATGGAATATGAACCGCCGCTGCGCTCACGCCGCCTCCGTCGCGGTCTGTTGCGGGACGTCCTTACCCCACATCTCCTTGTACCGGTCCTGCGCGCTTCGAATCGCGGCTTTCGCATCCGCGAGACCGGCGCGCAAGGCTTCGCCGTCGGGCTCGATCGCGAGGCCGGCGAGGTACGCTTTCACCGCCTCGCCGCCCTGCCCCAAACCGGTCAGCGCCGCGCCCTTGCGTCCGTACCCTTTCCCCCACTTCGGCGCCATCTTCACGCACCGGTTCGCGTCCGCGAGCGCCTCCTCGTACTTCCCGCACCCGCTGTACGCCGCCGACCGGTTGCTGAACAGGACGTGGTTGGTCTTATCGAACCGAATCGCCATCGTGAACTGCTTCGCGGCCTTGGCGTAATCCCCGGACGCGAACGCGGCGTTGCCCTTCTCCTTCGCCTCGACCGCCATCTTCGCGAACTTCGCGTTGTTCGTCTCTCCGTCGTCGCTGCTACTGCTGCTGCCGTCGTCGGCGTCGCGAGTGGGCGTCTCCCGCGGCGACGGGGACGCGGGCGCGACAACCTCCGGCGGCGGCGACTCCGCCGGCGCCTGCGCCTGCGCCTGCGCCTGCGCCTGCGCCGCCTTCAGCAGGCTCGGCATCGGCAACCACTTCCCGTCCTCCGTCTCCGGGACTACGCGCGCGGGCAGCGTCCCCAAGTACTCCTTCACCGCGTTCACGACCTCGGACTTCTCCGCGAAGGACCGATACTTTTCAATCCCGGTGAGCTGCAGCGTCGCGCGCATCAGCTTCATCGGCGCCTCGCTCGCGAGGTTTTCCGCGCCAAACCCGAGCAAGGCGCCGACGCGCGAGTGCAGATCGATCGCCGCGGCGATCGCGTCGCCGCCGCCCTCGCGCCGCGCGAGCGCGACGTCTCTCGGGGTCTCCTCGAGGCCGTTCTTCGCCGACGCGTCCGCGCCGCCGTCGACGAGCAACGTCTCTATCACCTCGAGACGGCCGGCGCCCGCGGCGGAGTGCAGCGGCGTGCTGTCCGCGTTGTTCCTGACGTCGGGGTTTAAGCCTCTGCGCAACAGCCAGCGGACGA